GGCTAAATATGAGCTATTATATTATGTTATATATTATTACAGATCCTTAACTGTTATATATTATTTATTTTACTATTATTTTATAGTCAGAAATGATTTCAGTGCAACATCAGTAAGTAATAATAAGTTATTGACAAAAGTAATCCTTAAAAAAAGGTTTTAGATTGTGATCTTATGCATTATTTATTGCTGTTGATGTCTTTTTATTGTTATAGTTTTTATATTGTTATAGAATTATTCTGGATAATCCATCAGTGTACTTTATCAGAGTTGTATCAGCCCTATATTAAACTGCATTGCTGTATAATCTTCTCTGTCTGCAGGACGAGGAGAGTCTCATCAAACAGGAGCTCTCGGCCATGAAGGAGCAGGTTTCGGCTCCCAGCACCAGCATGGTGAGCGATAGAGCCGTTACCGTGACGACAGTTACTAAGCGGGTTGTTTGATGTCAGTTTGTGTGTGTGTGTGATCTTCCAGAAGCAGATGAGAGAGATCATGGTGAGGTCCATGTACTGTGAGATGCTGGGCTACGACGCCTCCTTCAGCTACATCCATGCCATCAAACTGGCCCAGCAGGGCGGCGTCATGGAGAAGAGAGTCGGTGCGTTCATAGACACCCCACGAGATTCCACAATTTCTGTTAAAAAATCTCAAAATAAGAAATTAATCAATATTTATAAACATTAATCTATAAATAGCTTTTTAAGACGGTAAATACTTTGCAATTTTATTATAATTTTGCTTAATAATATTGTATTTGATCATTATAATTGATGTATAATTAGAATATATTATTATAACAAATTGATTATTTAATAATACACATTATATATTAGAGATATGTGATCTTGAAAATAAACAATCCTATTTTATTACAATTATTTTCAGCATTTTATGGTTTTATTATAACAAGTACTTAAATGTGTTGTTAAATACACTCTTATTGTTTTATATTTACATTTATTATACTATTTTCTCCATTATAATGTCTTAATGGTGTTGTTGTTTGATTATTATTTAATATCTGATGCATAATAAAATATATCTGAGTGATGTATGCACAATAACAATAGACAGTATAGGACAATGAAAATGTAAAATATGTTATATTAAAGAGAAAAATTAAATATAAATATTATAATGATATATTTTTTAATTTATATTTATTTATACTAATATAGTTATATTAATTTTATATATATTTATATATATATATACACACACAACAGTTCTGTCTGGTTCTTGAATCTGATTGGCTGATAGCTATGATATATTTCAGTAATATCAGCACTCGTACAGCCTCTTTACCCTTTGTGTATTACTCCGCCCACATACAGGCAGCAAAAAGCAGACACTACAGATCTAAAGTATAAAAGATGCTTGCTCAGCTGTTTAATTGTAAGCTTTTGATTTGAATCCAACGCGGAAGAAAGTAGTTCCTCATACAAAAGGATTTTTGAGGCTCTCCATGTTTGATTTTGTTTTTATATACACAATTATGCCGTCAAACTGTTGTATAAACGCAATATCACACTGTGTATATCTGTATATCCATGATATATATATATATATATATATATATATATATATATATATATATATATATATATATATATATATATATATATATATGTATATATATATATATATATATAAATATATGTATATATATGAAAATGTAAAATATGTTATATTAAAGAAAAAATATTAAATATAAATATTATAATGATATATTTTTAAATTTATATTTATTTATCCTAATATATATATATATATATATATATATATATATATATATATATATATATATATATATATATATATATATATATATATATATATATATATACATATAAATTAATACATTTTATGTTTCTTAGCAAGAATTATTTTGTTTTGTGTCACAATAATTTTAATTTGATAAAACATTATTAAATTATTTTAGAAGTTGATTATTGTGTAATTTCACATATAATAATTTATTATGGAATTATGTTTAGAGAATATTATAAATCAATAACACAATGTTACAGTTTAAATGTGTCATATCAGATCTTTATACAATTGTAAATTATTATTATTATTATCATTATATAAAATGTTTATTACATAAATATAAAATTACATAAATCATTTATTCGTTAATTTTTTTTCAGCTTAGTCGCTTTGCCACTCAGGGGTCACCACAGCGTAATGAACCGCCAACTTATCCACTATGACAGCTAAAGTTACATAAAAAAATTATAAAATTACTTGTTTAGCTTATTGCCATAGACACCGAATCTCATGAAGATCTTCATGTAAATAAAACCTTATTTTGAGCCCTTAGTGTTTATTTAAAACCTAATTGTGGCACGCCTCTCCATGTTCAGGGTATCTGGCAGTGTCTCTTTTCCTCAGTGAAGGCCATGAGCTGCTGCTGCTGCTAGTCAACACAGTATTAAAGGTAAAGTGAGCTTGGGTTTTACCATGTTTAACTGGACGTACTATTGTAAATGAGCGTCTGATGTGTGTGTGTGTGCGCAGGATCTTCAGAGCACCAACCTGATTGAAGCCTGCATGGCCTTGACTGTTGTAGCTCAGGTGTTTCCCAAAGACATGATTCCTGCTGTCCTTCCTCTGGTGGAGGACAAGCTTTCACACCCCAAGTAAAACACACATGCACTCCTCCAATCCACATTCATTATTCTATAACACCTGAAAATGGGCTGAACACACATAAACAAGACTTTTTTTTTATTTTATTTTTTTAAGGGGCTTCTGTCAGTTTATAGAAATATTTCATGGCAAAAAATAAAATGTGTGGCATAAAGTTTATTGTTAGAAATTTTATAAATTATATAAGCAAGTTGTGTTGTGTATTAATAATATTTTATTTAGTAGTATATATCAATGTTTATTCTAGAGTTCACACAAGAGTTCACAAGCAAGTTTGGCATGCTGTCCCGGGAGAGAGCCCTGAGCTCAAAAGGTCCTTGAGCCCTGGGCTCCCTCTCATTTGTAGGGCGAGCGGGGAGCTTTGAGCTCAGGTAGATCTCGACAACTCCTCCCTAGTGCTAAATTTAGATTGATCAATTCACTTGTAGTGCATGTTTTTGGAATGTGGGAGGAAACCGGAGGACACGGGGAAAACCCACGCGAGCACGGGAAGAACATGCAAACTACGCACAAAAACGACCGCCGGCCTGTTAAAGGACTAGAACCGGTGACGTTCTTGCTGTGAGGCAACAGTGCTAACCACTGGGCCACCGTGCCGCCCTATGAAGTCAAAGGTGAAGAGGTAGGGGTGGAAGGGGGGATTCTTCAAATCAAAGATGACTGTAGTGGAAAACCCTGGCTCTTGATAGTGGGTTAGGACTGGCCTGATTGGTGGATCATACATGCTAATGCAGAACCAGCCGTGTTCAATCATAATCACGTGATCCTCTTGAAATTAGTTTATGGATAAACTTCACTTAATGTTTGGCACTTTTTTTGATTTATAATTACTGCTATATTGTTAAAAAATCTATAGTTTTTCTTTCTTATCATATATTTATATATTTATTTATTTTTGTTTATAGTTTTAGTAATTGAAATTTTTAGATTACATTTATTTATTAAATTAATTAACATTTTTAAATATCTCATATATCTATTATAAACATTTAGGCATAATGCAAAGTCACCGACATTTATATCAGATAACAGATATTTATATCTTAAATTATATATATATATATATATATATAATAAATGGGCATTTTTTTTTAAAATCTAGATAAATTTCAGAAATAATCTAGATTAAAATGGCTCATTTGAATTTTGCTGAAGGCATTCAAAATAAGTGTGCTTCCCAAATAATGACTAAATGTAAGTCTTTAAGAACGGGTTTCTCAAGCCAGGTGGCGCATTAGACCAGGGGCACATCTCCTGTTTCCAAAATGCACCTCAAACTGCTTGAGAAACTGTTCTGCTATGAGAATTGGTGAAAATAAATGATGTTCATTAAGATGTGCTTGTGATTACTAACTGTTTACTCAGTTAAACATGAATTTTGAACTGTAGGCCTACATAAACTCCAAACAACGATTTTTGATGACCTTAACCCGACTAAAGTCATTACTGAACTAAACAGAAATTAAATTAAGACATGTGGAGTATGCAGATATTAGTGGCACTATTGAAGTAAACACTGCGATCAAACGATTACAGTCATGTAGAACTTTTCGCCACATTTTACAACAAGATCCAAACACACGCAGCTGTCAGTAAAGGACCGCACACACACATACTTGTTTTTGAGCATTGTGGGGGTTTTACAACACCTAACCGAACTTCCTCATTCACCAAGGTTTCCCAGCACACGTGAGGAAATCGGCTCCACTCGAAGATTAAAAAAAATCTCGCAAATGCGTTATTGCGCCACGTGCTAACGACCAATAGGATTCGCGCTGGCTTCGAGTGCGCTTGACTCCTGGGGGACAAGGCTCACCCTGACTCTGATAGCGAGGGAGATGGCATCCACCCGATCCATTTTATTTGTAGGCCTATATCTTTTACTCGAACGCATAAACTCTACAGATGCCTGATAGTTAGATGTGGAGCTAATATAAATCAGATTCACTCTAGTGAACTGCATCCATGTTAGCATGTGATGTTTGATGTGGTAATTTTACAGTAGGAATACACAGGTTCGAAGACTCGCTCTCTCCCCCTACAGTGTAATTCAGCCAGGTATACATCCAAGCTAAACTATCAACGTGAAAGTCACCATAGCTTGCGTAGAATAGACCCAGCTCCCAACCCAACTTTGAGAATAGATTAACGGCAATATTTTTTTTATCGCACGGAAAGAGTCTCACATTAAGGTCGATAATGGCCCACCACCCACATATATATATACACACACACACACACACACACACACACACACACACACACACACACACACACACACAATATATATGTTGTTTGTGTGTGTATATATATATCTTCATGCATACATATTTAACTCATATCTTTGCCTCTTCTGCGTCAGGGAGATCATTAGGAGGAAAGCTGTCCTGGCCTTATATAAGTTTTATCTCATCGCTCCTAATCAAGTGCAGCACATTCATGCCAAGTTCCGGAAGGCTCTGTGCGACAAAGATCCTGGAGTGATGACGTCATCCTTACATATTTACCTACAACTCATACAGGTTGGTTTGTTAAATATGGCTTGAAAATAGTCCCGGGAACAGTGCTGCATAATATCATTGCGAATGCTGCAGTCATGGTACGGCAGCAAAGTTCCTTGATTATTACAGCAGATATAGTTATAGTTCCTAATCGGCCTGGAAAATAGAAACTTATAATCTGTCATTCAGACAAAGTACATAGCCGCTTTTCCACTATCGTGCTGAAGCGTTCTTTAAACAGAACTGTTCCATTCCGTGCCAAACCGGGCCAGACAGCACGGATACGGTTTCATTTTCCACTGTCGTGCTGCGACAAAGCTCTTTAAAACATTACACAAAATGCATCAGTAGTTGCCTTGGTAACGCATGTAAACGGCTCCCTTTGTTCAATTAAAGTTAAATAAGAGCCGAAACTTTTTTTTTTTTTTCATAAAAGCAAAAGCAACCATGTGACTAAACACTGTTATGCCGCTCTATCAAATAGGGTTGCTAAATATCGGTACATGTGCACCCTTATTTATTTATATGTTGCGCAGCTCTGGCTAAATTTATTTGGAGGGAAAATTACCAAAATGTAACGTGATGATTGAAAATAATTGGAGGGGAAATAAATAATATTTAAAATCTCTGAACATAACAGAAAAATAAACAATGATAAGACAACAATAATAGTGCATTTGCATTATAGTGGCAGAAATATCATTTTGGACAGGCCTTGTCAAAGGTGAGCGGGCACTTTCACTAATAAAAACACAACACATAAATTATTTCATTTTTAACAATTAATTAAATTACACTGCGTTTTTATATCAAAAGTTGATAATGATATAAAATATACTACATTTTGATGGTAAAATGAAACCAATTAAGCAATGGCTGTTATTTGTTTTACTATTCAAACATTAAATAACGAATGCAGCAAGTGAAATAAAAAAAAAAACGAATATGAAACAACACATATATAGCAGGATTTAAAGCATATAAAGCACTATTATATTTAGCAAAATGCTGCTCTATTATCTTTTTATTTTGATCATTTTATTTTTATTATTATTTTTTGTTCATAATTAACTAACAAGCTGTAGGCGAATTATTGCTAGACGTTTTAGAAAATATTTGCGTATCTATATTAAAGATCACTAAGAACAAAAAAACAAAAACATAGAAACATGTTACATGCCTCATAAATGTCATATAACTTATGTTCAACTGAATCATATAATTGCCTTTAGCTGAAATGATGAAAATTGCTCTTTTTTTTATAAAACATTTGTCAAAACGTATTGATATTTTTTGAGTAAAAGCAATACTGACATTTAAGAATCCATATTTATTTAATTCATTCATTGTTTTGACTTGTTTTTTTTAGTGCATATGCTATAATATAAATCATTCAACAGTAACGTTACCTTGGACAGTTACAGTGCCGCTCCGTAAAGCTGTCAAGCAAAGTCATTTGGACGGCCGACATTACAACACGACGTCCTTCAGGTGGTCTCGCCGGTATTAACAAGCTGTCCTGGCTTTGAATTAAAAAGTGCAATTATTTCCTCGTTGTTAAAAGAGTCTGCAAGTTCGTGTTCCATGGATATAGTGATGTTGTAGTGGAATTTGGACATCTACGATGCTAAGCGTGACTTTATTCGCTTTATTCGATGCGCAGCTGGAAAAGAAAGTCAGCAGCGCAAGTCGCTGGCATGTCTCTCCCGGATCAGAGCGAGTTTTGTGCTGTGGAATACAGCGCTGCGTGCAATAAACTCACATTCGGGCAGGCGAAGTAGGTCTGTATTCAAGACAATAAAATAATAACTTTAATGAATAAAATAATGTGATGAGTTGTTCACTTCTCTGCCAGAGACTGCTCTATGGTTTTAAAACCCTTTTCAAACTGTATCGTTTAGACTTGGATCATTATTTTATATTAAATCTACTGTAGTTTATTGAGGATGTCTGATGACTAGTGCGCTTCTGCTGAGCCAGCTGTGGTAGCTTAGCAACCGAGTCGTGACGTCAACACACAGAATCTGTCAGCACAGTTCAGCACGGTTGTCTAACCGTGCCGAGAATTCCGGGCCGAGAACGGTTTGTAATCGTGCCGCGCCGTTCCAGGCTCAGTGGAGAAACAACCGTAACCGTACCGAAGTGTTCTTAGAACGGTTTGGCACGATAGTGGAAAAGCAGCTCATGATTTCACTACAGAAGAGTAAAGCTTTAAACAAGAAATTTATTAAAACTCTTCTTTAAATTTTTTGAGCGACATACTACTGGTCTAATCCTATTCAATGGTCTATGCTAAGCTAAGCTTAAAGTGCTCCTTTCAGACCCGAAGATTGACGAAATAGATAAAAAAAATGATAAAACTCAACTATTTACCTCTAGGGGACTTGTAAAAATTGCCCTATTTCCAAAAGAAAGTGGAGTGTTTCTTTAAGAGAGACCTTTGTCAAGGTTTTTATATTTACTTTATTTATCCAAATTTAAACCTCACATTTTGTCCTGTTGTCTATAAACCGCAGATGTCAGTCATGTGTTTGTTTCTGTATCAGGAGAGTCCGGACGCCTATAAGGACCTGACGGGCAGTTTTGTCACCATCCTGAAGCAGGTTGTTGGTGGGAAACTCCCGCTGGATTTTAACTATCACAGCGTTCCTGCGCCTTGGCTTCAGATCCAGCTGCTCCGCATCCTCTCGCTGCTCGGCCGGGATGACCAAAGGTACACGCTAATCACAGGCTAGCTCCGTTTATGCAGCTAAAGACTAAATTATTAGCCCTCCAGTGAGTTTTTTCTTTTTCAAATTTTTCCCAAATGATGTTTAACAGAGCAGGGAAATTTTCACAGTATTTCCTATAATATTTTTTCTTCTGGAGAAAGTCTTATTTGTTTTATTTCGTCTAGAATAAAAGCAGTTTAATTTTTTTTTGTTTTAATTTTTTTTTTTTTACCATTTTAAGGTCAATATTAAAAGCCCCCTTAAGCAATATATATATTTTTTGACTTGCCTAATTTCATTATGGCCATTTAAGTTATAAACACTTAGCATTTATTTTGTCATTTTAATAAAATAACAGTGTTAGACTGAAATATACACGCATTTAGGAAAAGTCAGGGCACTATAGTTATTTGGGTTTCATTTTAATAAAGTTATTAAATTGTAAACTGTCAAAAAGGCTGCCTCGGTAGTTCTACTGTTAAAGGGGTCATGAACTTCGACAGCAAAATTCCATTGATCATTTGACACAAAAGAGCTTATAGTATTATAAAAACACTCTCTAAATTTCAAATCTCAAACCTTTGTCATTTCTCTACAAATAACATATATTAAAGGCAGTGTGCAAAAACAGAAGCTTTTTAAATGTGCTGCTCTTTGATGTAATAGTCTATAAGCTCCGCCTCCATAAAAGATTGACACCTACTTATGCTTAAATGCCTGCATATTTCTGTTAAAAAGCCTGTGAAGTGCTTTAAAATGTGCATTTTATTTGAAATTTTAAGTAATCTCAATGGAAACACAAAGAGAAGGGGTGGGGAATAGAGTAGCTCCTCGCCAATAGCGCTTTGTTTTTATCACAGCTCTGCCAGGGAGAAAACAAATGTGTGCATTTTGAAGGGGGCGGAGCATGTCTAGAGAGCATTTGATTGGTCAAGATTTGATAAAATACTGATTAAGTAGGGCTGGGCTGATAAAGGATATCATATCGAATCGCAATAAAAATGTATGAATTTATGAATATTTATAATAAAGAGGGGCCAATGCATAGAGTAGCCCCTCCCCTTTAAAAAAAACAGCCAATCATGTTTTGTTTTTCTCGCAGCTCTGCCAGTAAGAGTGGTTGAGCTCAAGCACATCAAATGAAAAGCGTCTTTAGAGAGCATTTGATTGGTCAAGATTTGACGAGAAACTGAAGTATGAGGTAGGGCTGGGCTGATAAATGATTTTATATTGAATCGCGATAAAATATGTCAATAACAATGATAAGCTCTGGAAATTTTGACTCTTCATTGATCTAAGAGACAATCGCACAGCAGAAATGTGCAACAATGGGAATCTAAAAGTGTGTTGATATTAGAGATAGACCGAATTTTCGGCCACTAAAAATTTATCGGCTGAAAATATGTTATGCCATTTAAATATGGAAGCATTAACAACCTATATTGAAATATATAGGTCATTCATTATGGAAAATAATTTAAAATAAAATAATTATTAAGATTGCATTTTTTAAATTATTTATTCGGGGTTTTCACCTTTAATGGATAGGACAGTAGAGATTATTGACAGGAAAGCATGGACAGCAGAGATTAGGGAAAGGATCGGCATAGAACCGCAAGGTGGGAATCGAACACGGGTCATTGTGAGCACTGGAGTGCATGTGTCGACGCACTAACCACTACACCACTGGCGCCGACTCGAGATTGCATTTTTGCCATAATGCCCAGCCCTAGTATGAGGTAACGTCAAAAAAAATTGTTGATCTGTTCAGCGGAAGGTGAAAAACTGCAAGCTTTGGATATTTATATCAGGCTTTTATCTTCTAAACGCAAATTTTGTCACTGTTCTGGAGCACACTAGCTCATACTGATTGTTGCATCTAAAAAAAAACAACTTTATTTTAATTTCACAGGAACTTTAATATGCAAAATGACTAGCCAATCACAGCAGTGGACATTTACCCCTTAAATTTTTAATATCTACTTCAGAATATCATAATTGTGCTTAAAAACTGCGATAAATAAGTGTAAATGGAACAGCAGTGGCCTTTAAATTTCATTAAACCTGTATTTTCTGTAATACCAATGTTGTTTTCAGCACCAGTGAGCTGATGTATGAAGTTCTGGACGAGTCTCTGCGCAGAGCGGAAATGAACCACAACATCACCTACGGTAAAATCAGATTTTGCAATAGTGGAGCTATTTATGAAGATAATGAGTTGCAATAATAACACATAATGTTGATTTCAGCAATCCTGTTTGAGTGTGTGAAGGCCGTCTACACCATCCACCCTAAAGCAGAGCTTCTGGAGAAAGCAGCGAGATGCATCGGGAATTTTGTTCTGTCTCCAAAGATTAACCTTAAGTATCTCGGTAAGCTCCTGTGTTTGATCTTGACCATTGTGTCGAGCTGCATTTGAATGATCCGCTCTTATATATTGGTGTTTCTTCAGGTTTGAAAGCCTTGACGTATGTTGTCCAGCATGATGCCAAACTGGCCTTACAGCATCAGATGACCATTATTGAGTGTTTGGACCACTCAGATTTCACTATTAAAAGAGAGGTAACAAACAGACCACTTTAAAATTCAAAAACAATAATTATATAAATAAATATGTAAATAAATAAATATGTAAATAAATAAATAATAATTTTTATGAATTTCTGTGCATAATTAAAACCTGTGTGTTAATTTAGACTTATGTCATAATGTTTGACGATGTTTTGACATAGTTTTGGATTTTGGAAGACTTTTATGACATACTGACACCCCATTCACACAGGGCTTCATCGTCAACACTTGACAGAGGGCGTGTCTGAAGTTGTTGCTGACGCGATCGTCATAGCAGTGTTAGCCAATGAAACTAGTCAGCAATAGGCCACGGTGGTGTATTTGCATAAAGCGATCTGATTGGCTGACTCTTCTGTCAGCGCTTGAAATGTTGAGCAGCTCCCAACTTTTGCAGCGAGCAACGCCTCTGAAGTATCGCCGAAGGATCCTCAATGCAGTTCGGCAACGCCTGACGTCACCCATTCAAAGTGAATGGGAAGCGTTGAGGCTGGCACCCCGTGTGAATGGGGTGTTGATGATACTAAGTATGATTGATGAAGTATGATAATTATGATGGTGAGATTATGATGTTTTGCATAATCGTTGTCATAAATTGTATAAATATGGCCCTTTTCTCTCAAAGTACCTTTTATATTATTGATAATAAAACAATTAATTTATATCATAATACAGAAATATATTGTTATATAAACAATTATATAAAAAAAATAATAAGTAAAATAATAATAATAATATAAATATAATTATAGTAATATTATACTCATATTTTTGTATTATAATAATATATTTATGCTATAAAATGATAATTATTATTATAATATTATACTTTATGTAATAATGTTTCATTTTCTATATTAGATTTTCTATGTTCACAACAGTTTAGACTTTTCAATATTTAATATACTATTACAATAAGACTTTTTACGTCATAATTTTTATGCATAATTAAAACCTGTGTGGGCGGCACAGTAGGTAGTGCTATCGCATCACAGCAAGAAGGTCGCTGGTTCGAGCCTTGGCTTGGTCAGTTGGCGTTTCTGTGTGGAGTTTGCATTGTTGTAAACTTCCAAGAGCCCCAAAAACCAGGGAGAATCTTTCAGTTGTCTTCAAAGCAGAATCCTTTTTAATAAAAAGAACTCAGCGTGGCTTTGGCGTCATCGAAAGCAAACTCTCAACTCCACAGCAAACACTATACATTTTATACGTGTTACAGCATGTAGGTGGGGTCAGTCATGGTGGGGACAGTCAAACAAAGCATGCAAATGAAGTCTGGGTGCCATGCCTTCTCCAGGACTGATCTCATCAATATATAGGTACATCATTACAACAATGTGCAAATGATGTTCTGGAGACAGGGAAGACAATAGATACAGCCATGCTGTGAAACCGATAATTGCATCACTGTGGCTTAGCCTGTAGTCAGCAAGGCAAAGGTTAAATGTCCCTCCTAGCTGGCATGTCAATGAAATGATATAATTAAAAACCAAAGAATACATCTTTGCAGTTATACGTATATTATTGTTCATTTGGAATTAGATGATAGAAATTTATATTTCCACAGCATGTTCTCCTTGTATTCGCGTGGGTTTCCTCCGGGTGCTCCCGTTTCCTACACAATCCAAAGACATGTGGTCCAGGGGAAATTGGGTAGGCTAAATTGTCCGTAGTGCATGATTGTGAATGAGTGTGTGGATGTTTCCCAGAGATGGGTTGCAGCCCGAAGAGCATTCTCTGTGTAAAACATGTGCTGGATAAGTTGGTGGTTCATTCCGCTGTGGCGACCCCTGATTAATAAAGGGACTAAGCCGAAAAGAAAATGAATGAATGAACAACAATATGAACACAGAATTCCCAGAGAACTTTAAAACCAGTGTGATGCTCTAATAAAAATCTGACGTGTTGATTTTCAATACAGCTAATTCCCAAACCATTAAATGCATTTTGTTAATCTCTTCCTCCTTTTTTCTCTCCCAGACTCTTGAATTGCTGTTCAGGATCACGAACGCTCAGAATGTGAGTGTGATTGTTGAGAAGATGCTGGATTTTCTGCGCAGCTGCAGCGACGAACACACCATCATCCATCTAGCCGGAAAAGTGGCAGAGCTCGCTGAAAAATATCCTTCTTATTTAACCAGTGATTATGGAAAGTACCCATAAACCCATGTTTAAACCTCATATTTGGATTTCACATTTACAGTTAAAGTCAAAATTATTAGCCCCCCTGAATTATTAGACCGCTTGTTTATTTTTCCCCCAATTTCTGCTTAACGGAGAGCAGATTTTTTTCAACACATTTCTGAACATAATAGTTTTAATACCTCATCTCTAATAACTGGTTTATTTTATCTTTGCCATGATGACAGTAAATAATATTTTACTGGATATTTTTCAAGACACTTCTATACAGCTTAAAGTGACATTTAAAGGCTTAACTAGGTTACTCAAGTTAACTAGGCAGGTTAGGGTAATTTGGCAAGTTATTGTATAACAGTGATTTGCTCTGTAGATTATCGAGAAAAAATATAGCTTAAAGGGGCTAATAATATTGTCCCTAAAATGATGTTTAAAAAATTCAAAACTGCTTTCATTCTTGCCGAAATAAAACAAATAAGACTTTTTGAAGAAGAAAAAATATTATCAGACATACTGTGAAAATGTCCTGAACCTGTTAAACATCATTTGGGAAATATTAAAAAAAGAAGAAAAATTTTTGATGAGGGCTAATAATTCTGACTTCAACTGTATAAAATCTATCATATATTCAGCATGGATTTCAGATATTGCAAACAAAGGCTGTTACATTTTTTTTTCTGACAAATAATAAAATTTAATATCCAAATATATTATACGCATATAGAGAGAAGAGTGTTTCTACAGGTGGTTTGTCAAGCCCACTGTGTGTAGCCCATGTTTTTTTTTTATGTAGATATAGAGTGATTGTAAGAAAGGGTATGGTAAAAAGCTGGTGCAAATGTCTGGTATAGTGTAAGATTGTGTTTTCTACAGGTGGTTGTGTTTTCTACAGGTGGTTTGTCAAGCCCACTCACCTGTGTGAGACACTCAGAGTTGCATACTTTTTTGAGGTTGTCGTGATGGGGTCCCATATGTTTTCAAATATATGTTGCATATATTTTATATATGTTAAATCTAAATATTAACTTGTATGTCATACATGTCATTTGCATATATAACTACATCCTATTGTTGCACGTGAGTTTTTCTATCAAAACCCTTACGTTTGCTCCAGACAACTCCTGGTTTATTCAGACCATGAATGATGTTTTTTCTATCGGCGGAGATTTGCTGCAGCAGGACATCTCCAATAATTTTCTGCGACTGCTGGCGGAGGGTAAACGAGATTAATAGTTGGTGTGGGAGATGTTTTTTGTGTGTTGTTTTTTTTAATTTCGTGATGTTTTGCTTTGTTACAGGATCAGAGTCTAAAGAGGAGGATGATCAGCTACGGCTGTACGCTGTCGACTCGTATCTGACATTATTGAACGGAGACGCTTCTCATCTGCCGCAACGCTTCATTCAGGTCATGAGCTGGGTGTGTATGCTGTTTAATATCAGTGTATGTCCAAAGTAGTGCCTGTGGGCTAAAGTTGGCCCATGGTAACCTTTGATTTGGCCTGCCATCCCTCTGAGAAGAGAGGAGGAATAATGGGGATGGTTTTTAAGATTGTCAATTCAAATTCAATGTATCCCTTTGTTTGTTTTATTGCTAAAAGTTAACTGAAATGAAATATTTAAATTAAATGGCATAAATTAATCTGATTTTTTTAAATGTACATACTGTCACCTGACAATCCAGAAATTTTTGTAAGCAAATCCAGTCCAAGGCAGATTCTGCTTGACTAGTGTATTCAGTGTTGAACTCCACTGTGGTATAAATGTGATTGTTTATGTGTTTTTGCAATAAGTTATAATTTAAAAAGTTACACTGCATTAGCTTATATGATTTAAAGGAATGTTTTATATTTATTTTGAAATTTTAAAAAATAAACTAGTAAACTATACATGGCAACTTTAATGTAATATAGTATATTATATCTCAGTATATTTACATATTACAAATATATTTACATATTAAAATGCATTTACATATTTTAAATGTATTTACATATTACAAATGTATTTACATATTACAAATATATTTACATATTACAAATGTATTTACATATTAAAATGTATTTACATATTAATTATGTATTTACATATTACAAATGTTTTTACAAATTACAAATGTATTTACATATTAAAATGTATTTACATATTAATAATGTATTTACATATTACAAATGTATTTACAAATTACAAATGTATTTACATATTAAAATGTATTTACATATTAATACTGTATTTACATATTACAAATGTATTTACATATTACAAATATATTTACATATTACAAATGTATTTACATATTACAAATATATTTACATATTAAAATGTATTTACATATTAATAATGTATTTACATATTACAAATGTAATTACAAATTACAAATATATTTACATATTACAAATATATTTACATATTTTAAATGTATTTACATATTACGAATGTATTTACAAATTACAAATATATTTACATATTACAAATATATTTACTTATTACAAATTTATTTACATATTTATAATGTATTTACATATTACAAATATATTTACTTATTACAAATGTATTTACATATTACAAATGTATTTACATATTAATAATGTATTTACATATTACAAATATATTTACATATTACCAATGTATTTACAATTTACAAATATATTTACATAATACAAATATATGTACATATTACAATTGTATTTACATGTTACAAATATATTTACATATTACAAATATATTTACATATTACAAATGTTTTTACATGTTACAAATATATTTACATATTAATAATGTATTTACATATTACAAATATTTTTACATGTTACAAATATATTTACATATCAATAATGTATTTACATATTACAAATATATTTACATATTACAAATGTATTTACAAATTACAAATATATTTACAAATTACAAATGTTTTTGCATATTACAAATATATTTACATATTATTTATGTATTTACATATTACAAATATATTTACATATTACAAATGTATTTACAAATTACAAATGTATTTACATATTAACTATGTATTTACATATTACAAATATATTTACATATTACAAATGTATTTACATATTGCCAATATATTTACATATTACAATTATATTTACATATTACAGATGTATTTACATATTACAAATGTACTTTGTGTAGTTTATTTACCTTCGACCCATGGTTCATAATGATATTAGTTTTTTGGCCCTTCATATGAAAAAGTTTTTGGACCCCTGTTATACACACACACACACGCACACACACACACACACACACACACACATACACACATACAACAGGGTTTCATTTATTTATTAGAAACAAATAAAAAATGCTGATTGAGGTTCTGCCGACAGCTTTCAAAATTGGTGCAATTACAGTTAAATTATGATAAAACATTATTATGGTTTTTTTATATAATTATTTTTCCGGGGTTTTCACCTTTATTCAATAGCACAGTTTTGAGATTATTGACAGGAAAGCATGGGCAGCAGAGAGAGGGGAAGGATCGGCATAGAACTGCGAGGCAGAATCGAACTCTGGTCGCCGCCAGCACCGGTGTGCATGTGTCGACGCACTTACCACTACACCACGGGTGCTGACATAAAACAAATGACTAAAATAATCAATGTGTTTTCAGGTTGTTGGTGAGTATTCTCATCTTCAGGAGTGTGTGGATCAGAGCGAGGTGATTCGGCTCCTGATGAAGCTGCTGGAGCAGAAGAGTGTGAGCTCAGAGACGCGGGTCTGGATTCTCTCAGCTCTGACCAAGATTTCAGATGGCCAGACAGACTTAATTCTGGAGCTGGCAGAGAGTATTTCATCCTCTCAGGACACGATTCTCCGTCAGCAGGCCCACGAGCTGCGGCATCTCAGCCTGGACTCAAAGCTACATGAGTGGGTTTTGCCCCGCGGAGCCGCCTGGGACGACATGGAGGTAGTCTTGACCAAAAACATGTTAAAAGAAGTGTTATCAGCATGCTGAGCCTTCCCAAAACATGTTAATTTACATCAGTCATGTTATAAACACCCTAGCAGTATACTAATTCATACTAGCAACACAGAAAGTCATGTAGCAACATGCTAATTCATGCTAGCATAGTGTGGAACATGAAATTATTGCGTCAGATCCCTGAAATTGTTAAATCATTCTCCTTTAATTAATACCAATGATTCAATAATAATTTAAAGTAAGGTTATACATTTCTCTATTGTTTATTAAACAATTAAGCTAAATTAAAGCACAGACAGACTTGATTAAAATAATGTTCACAGCAATCATTTATTATAAATGTTAATATAAAGTGAACTTGTGTTTTTTTGAGACTTTATTGAAAACTTTGAGAAAAAACACGTCAGAATGTCCACGCATTGCTCGGCTGTGTTTATCTTTTACAGGTCGACTCTTCTTTGTCATTTCTGGATGGGTTTGTTTCTGAAGCTTTGGCTGCAGGAGCCGCACCATATAAACCTCCTCATCAGAGACAAGAAGAGCTGTGTGAGCAGAGAGGTACAGCTGTTAATAACCATCTTTTGGGTTTTCATTCATATATATATATATATATATATATATATATATATATATATATAGTTAAAGTCAGAATTATTTGCCCTCCTTTGAATTTTTTATTTATCTTTAAATATATTTGTAGCGAGGCAGAGGGAAAACACAAACACCGTAGATGAAGTTACAAACAATGCCCCGGAGGGTGCTTTTATTTACAAGTGATAATGGGGTGAATGAGTGCTCTTCTTAAGGGTGCGTGCTCAAGTGCTCCGGGGAGATGGTGAAGGCTGGTGAGAAGTATGGTGTTGGATCGGTCACGAGCTGGATTCGGCTGTGGGAGAGACAGAGAGAGACAAGCGTTAGCGCAGGGAGTCATGTGTAATGAAGCTCACTTCCTCCTGTGTGGGGCTGGCTTATATCTCTCCCTGGCTGATGAGGTCCAGCTGTGAGCGATCCGAGGTTGATGAGAGATCCAGCTGGTGTGGATTTGTGCCCAGGGCGACGTGGTACTATATGACTCGCTACAATATTTTAAAAGAATGATGTTTTACAGAGCAAGGACATTTTCCCAGTATGTCTGGTAATATTTTTTCTTCTGGCGAAAGTCTTATTTGTTTCATTTCAGCTAGAATAAAAGCAGTTTTTAATTTTTAAGAAACTATTTTAAGGTCAAAATTATCAGCCTCTTTTAGCTTTTTCGATAGTCTACAGAACAAACTGTTGTGAATTTCTCTAGTCTGGCTCACGGCACCAAACTGTTGTGAAATTATAAGACGAGCCCAAAAAACCAGGGAGAACTTTCAGTATCTTCAAAGCAGAATCCTTTTAATAAGAAGAACTCAGTGTGGCTGTGGCGTCATTGAAAGAAACTCTCAATTGGTACAACAGACACTCAGTTTAAATACATTTGATGCATGTAGGTGATGACCATCATGTTGGGGACAGTCAAACAAAGCGTGCAAATGAAGTGTTGTTGTCGGCAGGGTAACATGCCTTTCCAGGCTCGATCTCATCAGCATATTGATAACCATTCACGATACATTTTAGCATTAAAACAGTGTGCAAATGATGTTCTGGAGACAAAACGCCCTATCAGTTGACCGACTGGAGAAAACAACAGGCACAGCCGTGCTGTGAAACTGACGGTTTGCATTACTTTGGAGACTGTCAGGGCTCAGAAAACCAAGAAATTTTAGGTCTGTCACACCCTAAAAACAACTTTTCAGTTACATATAGATAACATAATTTTATATTCCCACAAAACCATCGTTATACACTAACTTGCTTAATTCCCCTAACCTGCCTAGTTACCCTAATTAACCCAGTTAAGCCTTTAAATGTCACTTTAAGCTGTATAGAAGTGTCTTGAAGAATATCTAGTCAAATATTATTTACTGTCATTATTGGAAAAGATAAAATAAATCAGTTATTAGAGATGAATTATTAAAACTATTATGTTTAGAAATGTGTTGAAAAAACTGCTCTACGTTAAACAGAAATTGTGGGAAAAAATAAGCAGCGGGGCTAATAATTCTGACTTCAACTGTATGTATATGTATAAAGCATTCTGTTGTCATTTAAACTTGGATGACTGACAATATCTGCATTTTTTAGCACTGAATCTGGAGCCATACAGTTTTTCTCTGCCTGTGAGTTTGTCATCGTGTAGCATCACTGACAGACACTCTCCTACATTACTGTCCGTCAGCTCAGGACTTTCAGGCAACAGCACTGAGCTCTCTCAGAAAGCAGGGTGAGTGCCTGTCATTTTATCTGTGTACAACTAGCAAAATTGAGCAAAAGTGACAGATACTTAGAGTGTTACAATTTATTTAAAATAAATGCTGTTCTGTTTACCTTTCTTAATCTATCCAGCAATTTACAATGATTTCTGAAGGATCATGTTGGGGATGTTTTCATCCACTCTGGGGTGATGTTGAGTCTTAATTTGGCCACAACTTTCTCTGTGTTTCAGCAAATCGAATGACAAATCTTATTTTGACACACATTTTGGGAAAATGCTTTGAAAATTTACTAAAATTCAACAATACACTCAATACAGAGTAAAGAAACTACTATTTCCTTATGGTAGTGGCAGTTTTTGCTCCATTGACTTGCATTATAATGAGATTTTTCTTTATTGCAAAGCCATGACATCATATAACCATGCTTTCTTTATTGTTGGGGGTTTTTCCTGTAGGTAAGAGGTAAAAGTTTTAATTGTTTTAATGTTGATCATCAGTCACAGTGCAAAAAAGCTTAGTTTCTGGATTTTATATGGAGTATAGTGTGTGTGAGTGGGACCTTGCACACTTACCTTGATATGTTTGTGAAAATCAAGATAAGTAGCTCAGCTCTCAGAACATAGTAAACATAGTAAATGTATTTATACACACACACACACACACACACACACACACACACACACACACACACACACACACACACACACACACACACACTCTATGATCTGTTGTTTAACTCTACAGAACTCAATATAAAAGCCAGACACCATTTTGTACAGGCCTATCTAAAGAGTTAATGGTGCCAACTGATGATCAACAGTAAAAGTGACACATTTGACTTCTTCCCACTGGGAACACCACCAACAATCAAGAAAGCATTTGCAATGGCTTTGCAATCGAACAAATATGCTTATAATGGAAGTCAATGGGGCAAAAACAGCCCCCAACATAATGAATGTGTAGTAAACTTGACCAATACACAAGGGTTAATGCTCATGAAAAAATCCAAAAAGAACAAATTATACCTTCAAATATATTAAAGTAGAAAATTGTAGTTATAAATTGTAACATTATTATTATAATATTTTTAATGCATTTGTGATCGAATTTGGCCTTAGTGAAGCATCTTTTAAAACATTAAAACCTCATTCTTTTGTAAAATATATTGTGTAATTGTTTTGTATTTTAACATTGTGCATTGCTTCAGTGCCAGCACTCTAATCCTCGAGGGTGTAAAGAGAGTTTGGGGTAAAGATGGGTACCTTCCACAAAAAGAAACAGCAGTAACAGCCTCTCCGGTGGATGAGCCCAGTGCTGCAGTTCAGCCCGTCGGCCAGCAGGAAGCAGCAGAGAGATTAGAGCCACAGCCGGAGCCTTCAACGCAAACCAACGACAAACAGCAGCTGGCTTCCTCTTTGTTTGTTGGTTTGAGTACGCAGAGTTCCACATCTTTGGTGAGAAAATTGTTTTATGAACAAACTGAAAATTATTTTATGACGTTCGAAAGCTCAGCCAGCTGCCCTGTAGCATATGCTCACCTCATAAAACTAATTTCAAACTGACTTCAGAGAGGTTAGTAAGTTTAATGATTTACCACAAAACCGTTTGATTTACAGAAGTAAGCACTAAATGTAGAATTAGGAATTAATAGTTATAAGGGACACCGGTGGACATTAAGTGAACTGCAGCCCTATTGCTCGCACTTGTGCACACGAAACATACAGAATATGATTCAACAGCAAGGGAAATTCTCAGAGAAGTTCATTTTCATGCTGAACAAATGTTGGAAAAGCTGGAAGGTCTTTTGTAATGTATTCTGTTAACGAATATCCATGCGCCTTTCACACTGCTGAGGGTGACATGTAGATGAATATATGAGTATGTGCTGCGCTCTTTCCTTGCAATGATGAAAAAAGTGAAGACAAATGTGAAAACAGCAGTCTTTATCATCGCATTGTAATAATATGAATTTGTTTGCACAAGCTCTACAATTTAATAGAGCATCAAGTTGACATATTTTTAAACATAGACATAGTGTCATCAAGTTTTATGGATATCACTTATCAAGAAGCTATGCCCATTTGTTCAGATTTAGCCAGAAGAAAGCCCTGTAAATTTATTCAGATTTAGCCAAAAAGAAGCCTTGCCCAATCATTCAAAATAAGCCAGAAAGAGGGTCCGCCCCTCATTACAGAAAGAAGCCCCACCCAATAATTAAGAAATAAGCCAAAAAGAAGCTCTGCCCCCTCATTTCAGAAAGAAGCCCCACCCAATAATTAAGAAATAAGCCAAAAAGAAGCTCTGCCCCCTCATTTCAGAAAGAAGCCCCACCCAATAATTAAGAATAAGCCAAAAAGAAGCTTTGTCCCCTCATTTCAGAAAGAAGCCCCACCCAATAATTAAGAATAAGCCAAAAAGAAGCTTTGCCCCCTCATTTCAGAAAGAAGCCCCACCCAATAATTAAGAATAAGCCAAAAAGATGCTCTGCCCCCTCATTTCAGAAAGAAACCCCGCCCAATACTTTAGAGTAAGCCAAAAAGAAACTGCCCCTTCATTTCAGATTGACGCCCCGCCCAATAAGTCAGAATAAGCCATAAAGAACCTCCGCCCCCTCATTGCTGAAAGAAGTCCCACCCAATCATTCAGAATGAGCCAAAAAGAAGCTCTGTCTGCCCCCTCATTTCAGAAAGAAACCCCGCCCAATAATTCAGCATAAGCCAGAATAAAGCTCCTCCCTCATTTTAGAAAGAAGCCCCATCCAATAAGTCAGAATAAGCAGAAAGAAGCTCCGCCCCTCATTTCAGACAGAAACCCCGCCCAATAAGTCAGAACAAGCAGAAAGGTCTGCCTTCTTATTTCAGAATGAAGCCCCACCCAATAATTAATAATAAGCCAAAAAGAAGCTCCGCCCCTCAATTTAAAAAAGCCCCCCCCCCAATAATTCTATAACAAACCAGAAAGAAGCTCCGCCCCTCATTTCAGAAAGAAGCCCTGCACAATAATTAAGAATAAGCCAAAAAGAAACTGATCCCTCATTTCAGATTGACGCCCGCCCAATAATTAAGAATAAGCTAAAAAGAAGCTCTGCCCCCTCATTTCAGAAAGAAGCCCCACCCAATAATTATTAATAAGCCAAAAAGAAGCTCCGTCCCTCAATTAAAAAAAATCCACCCAATAATTCTATAATAAACCAGAAAGAATCTCCGCCTCTCAGAAAGAAAGAAAGAAGCCCTGCACAATAAAGAAGCCCTGCACAATAATTCAGAATAAGCCAGAAAAGTCCCGTCCAAAAATAAGCCAGAAAGAAGCTCTGCCCCTCAATTCAGAATAAGCCAGAAAGAAGCTCCGCCTCTTTAATTCAGAAATAAGCCCTGCCCAATACTTCACAATCAGCCAGAAATCTGTTTGTAATTTGCTACTTTTCTGTTTCCTTAAGCTGGGAAAATCTGAAGCTCCGCCTCCTCGGTTCAGAAAGAAGCCCCGCCCTCATGGATCATCATTATCATCCTCATCCTCATCAGGAACAAGTGAAAAGTCTTCCTCCTCCCGGACCTCACATAACACAACTGACAGCTTCCTGTATGGCAGTTTGCTAGAGGAGGAGCCAGCCGGTTTTGACCACACCCCCAAATCCATCACAGCCAATGGTCTTGGCCAAAATAAAGACGTTAAAGAAGACAGACGTACAAACACATCTCAGATACTGGGCAGTGATATGGTGATAGTGCGGCCCAACACAATACAACACAATCCGTCCACGTCTTCAGACCTGACCACTCTCTTACCTGCAGACCTTAAAGACCTACCTCACTCTGATGTCATCAGCCTGACCTCTGACCCCAGCCTGAGTGTGTCATCCTGCCGCGTGTTCAGAGATGAAGCTCTGCTGCTCGTCATCTTCATTTCTAACAGCACAGAGACTGATATAAGAGATGTTGCAGTGCAGCTCAACTGTGACCAGCTGGAGGTGTGTATATATTATTCATAAATTAAAAATAATTATTATTAATATCAGTGATGAAAACTGTTTGGCTGCTTCATATTTTTGTCAAAACTGTGATACACTAAAGTTCTAAATTAACATTAAAATGTGTTTTTATTCACTAAATTTATCATTTTTTATTTGGAAGGTGTAAAAGCAGATTTAATTTCAAGTAGATGTTATCTAGACTTTTCTTTTCATCATTTACTGTATAATAATAATGTAATTAGGGATGCTCCGATCAGCATTTTTGCAGCTGATACTGAGTATCGATTCCTCATCATTGTGATCAGCTGGTACCAAGTACCAATTCTGATGCTTCAAGCTTGTATAACTTTGTCATTGCATAAGCACATTTTCCCTCTATGTCATATTATATCTCGCCTTACCTTGGAGAATAAATTAAGGATGTTGCATATATGTAAGGTTCAGAAGCAGCTTTACAAGAAATAATAGATAAAACAGACAGAAAAAATGGTAAGAAAAATTACCGACAATGCAATTTGGAAACATTGCTCTCGTGTTGTATTGCTGTGGATGTATAACCCGGGTTGTAAACTCGTAAACAAACACTTGCGATCGGCTCATGAGATTGGCCAGATCAGCGCGTACCGATTGATTCATGAAATGTGACTATCGGCCAATACCGATCTTCAGACGATCGATCGGCCCATCCCTAATAGTAATAATGATAATAATAGTACACATTATTATCTAGACTTTTTTTTTATTAATAATAATAATAATAATAATAATAATAAATTAATTAATATTATCATTATTATCTGGACTTTCTTTTCATAACTTATAATAAAACAATTATTAAAATTATTGTTATTATTATTATTATCTGGACCTTTTCATAATTAATAATAATATCATAAATAATGATAATAATAATAATAATTATAATTATTATTATAATAAATGATGAAAAGGTCCAGATATTAATAATAATAATAATAATAATAACAATAATTGTAATAGTTATTTTTATAATAAATTATGAAAAAAGTCCAGATAATAGTAATAATTATGATAATAATCAATAATAATAATACAAATAATAATAATAATAATAATGAAAAGATTTTTGTATCATTTATAATAATATTAAATCAATAATAATAATTATAATAATAATAATAATAATTATTATTATCATTCATTTTATTATCTGGACCTTTCTTTTCATAATTCATGATAAAATGTATTATTATTATTATTATTATTATTATTATTATTATTATTATTATTATATTAAAGGATGAAAAGAAAGGTCCAGATATTAATAATAATTAATAATAAAATAAATGATGGAAAGAAACTTTTCTTATTATCATTTATAATAATAACTATAAAAATTATTGTTGTGGTTATTATTATTAATTTTAATATTATTATTATTATTAATATTATTAATAATAATAATAATAATAATAATAATAATAATAATAATAATATTTGGCCTATTCTTTTCATCAAAGAATTTTAAAAAGTCAAATGTATCAGTTTCCACAGCTTGATAATTATAAGAATCATTATTAATCATTGAGTACCAATATTTATTTATCACAACAGAACAGCAAATTAGCATATTATAAGGATTTCTGAAGGATCATACGACATTAAAGACTGGAATAATGATGCTGTAAATTCTACTTTAATTCACTAGAATAAATGTCATTTTAAATTACATATAAATAAATTAATGTTCATTTTAAATGTTAATAAATGTTCACAATTTGACAGTATTTTTGATCAAATAAATGCAGCGTTGGGAAGCAGAATAGGCTTCTTTTAAAACCATAAAGTCCACATGAACCGGAAGCTGCGACTGTTTTTTGTGTTGTGACGCAGTTCCTAGAGAAACTGAATATTAAATGAGAAAACAGTGGGCGTGGCTTGTTTTTTTTCCTACTGTGAGCTGATTGGATGTAGTAAAGTAGGTGTTTCAATTAGAAAGATCGAAAAGAGTTTTTTATTTTAAAAAGAGTTATTACTAATCTAACAGATTCCTCCTGCTCACCATTTCTGTTTGTTGTTAAAACTGACAGCTGGAGGGGCGTGGGGAAGTATCTTAGCCACGCCCAATACCTCAGAAAAACCTAATCTGAGAATTTAACTCAAAACAAACAGGAAGTGCATTGATTTTAATTAAAGATTACAAGGCGAAACATTTCTTTTTTCATATTGAAATGCACAGATGAATTGCACCACAAAACTACCAATGTAAGATAACAAAATCAATATGGTTAGTTCTGATTTCATTTGAACTTTAAAAAAATCTTTCAGATCCCGAAATTGTGTCTGGTTGTGCAAATTTGATAACAGCATAATAAAATTAATGCAATATGTAAAAATGTGACCTCTTCTGTTTCAGACGGTGAGTTTGCGAGGGAATATCGTGGACTGTCTGGAGGGCAGGAGTGTGTCTGTATGCCATTACGCTCTGCTGATGGACGACCCTCACACTAATGTGTCCTTTACCGGGAGCGTCTCTTATCAGATACAACCAGGACACACAAACACACTCTCTTTCTCTGGGACACTGTCCACAGCGGACTTTATCAGGTAACAAGACTTCTAACATTAGTGTTCTCAATTACGTATTTTTACACGAAATACAGTTATAATGTATGTCATAATAATGTAAGTAATTAAGGTTAAAGTGTGCATGCTGTCGCAGGTTTCAGGTTACAGTTTCCAAAATCCCCTCAATTAATTTTGGTTCATTTAAAGATTTTTTGACTGTATCAAACTTGTTTTAATGAACTCTTTTCTTTCGCTCACACACACAGGCCTTTAGTTGTAACCACAGATGAATATGGGAAACTCTGGCTGTCTCTGTCTCATGACGTCAAGCAAAATCTGAAACTGCTCACAGATGCCGGTGACCCTCTCCAAACAACCCTGAATGCCCTCAAGGACACCCTACAGCTGCATATAGTGGACATCATCGGTAAACTGAAACATAACTTCCATTTAGCTCAATTTAGTCTGACATGATTGCGCTTTTTCTGAGATTGCCTTTCATGTACTTTTTAATTTAACTGTTTATGAGTGTAAAACATCTGTAGTTTCAAAAGATAAAAGTCCAGCTTGGTAAACTTATCGCCTCCTGAAAGAAAGAACCGATTGAAATTGCCTGAAATTTGTTATTAGAGCAAAGTAGGACCATCTGACCAATCAGATCAGAGCAGCACCATACAACCTGCCCAATCAAAGCACTGTGGGGCCAGATGACCAATCACAGCATAGATGGACCATGTGACCAATCAGAGCACAGATGGGCCATGTTAACAATTAGAGAAGAGTAGGGTTACCTGACCAATCAAAGCAGAGTAGTGCCATGCCCTCTGATCAATCAGAGTAGAGTAAGACCATATGACCAATCAGAGCATGGGGGGGGCCATCTGACCAATCAGAACAGAGTGGTATCATATCATCTGATCAATCAGAGCACGGTGGGGCCATCTGACCAATCAGAACAGAGTGATATCATATCATCTGATCAATCAGAGCATGATGGGCCATCTGACCAGTCAGAGCCGAGTAGGGCCATATAACCAATCAGAGCACATATGGAGTATGCCACCAATTAGAGAATAGTAGGGCCACTTGACCAATCAGAGCAAAGACCATATGACCAGTCAGAGCAAAGTACGACCATCTGACAAATCAAAACAGAGTAGCACTTTACCATCTGACTAATTAGAGCAGAGTGGCCAATCACAGGACAGATGGACTATGTAACCAATCAGAGCACAGATGGACCATGTTACCAATTTGAGAAGACCAATAAGGGGATAGTAAGATTGTATGGCCAATAAGAGCAAAGTAGAATCATCTGACCAATCAGAACAGAGTAGTATCATACTATCTGATCAATCAGAGCACGGGGGACTATCTGACCAATCAGAGTAGAGTAAGCCCATATGACCAATCACAGCCCAGTAGGACCATCTGACCAATCAGAACAGAGTAGTATCATGCCATCTGATCAGTCAGAGCACGGTGGGGCCATCTGACCAATCAGAGCAGATTTGGACCATGTGACCAGTCAAATCACAGATGTACCATGTTACCAATTAGAGACGAGTAGGGCCAATTGACCAATCAGAGGATAGTAAGTTCATATGACCAATCAAAGCACAGTAGGACCATCTGGCTAATCAGAACATGGTGCGGGCATCTGACCAATCAGAGCACATATAGACCATGTGACCAGTCAGAGCACAGATGGACCATGTTACCAATTAGAGAAGAGTAGAGCCACTTGACCAATCAGAGCACAGTATGACCATCTGACCAATCAGAACAGAGTAGCACCATACCATCTCATCAATCAGAGCACAGATGGACCTTGTTACCAAATAGAGAAGAGTAGGGTCACCTACCAATCAAAGCAATATGACAAATCAGAGCACAGTAGGATCATACCATCTGATCACTCTGAGCATGGTGTGGCCATCTGACAAAATGATCAAAGCAGGGTAGGGCCGTCTGTCCAATCACAGTACACTGACCAATCAGAGCACAGATGGACCATGTTACCAATTAGAGAAGAGTAGGGTCACCTACCAGTCAGACCAAAGTAAGACAATATGACCAATCAGAGCATGGTAGGATCATACCATCTGATCAGTCAGAGCACGGTGTGGCCATCTGACCAATCAAAAGAGATTAGGGCCATCTGACTAATTACAGTACACTGACCAATCAGAACACAGAAAGACCATGTTGCTAGTTAGAGAAGAGTGGGGACCACCTGACCAATCAAACCAGAGTAAAACCATGTGAGCAATTGGAGCACAGTAGGATCATCTGACCAATCAGAGCAGATCAGGGCAAGCCAGTGTCTTTAAAGGGGAATTTATAGATGCCAGATCCTGGAGAGCACACAAAAAATGTATTTCTACTTTGCTGCATTGCTCCTAAACACACAGATTGGTGAAATGCACAATATCCACCCGTTTCTTTTTCTTTTGCTTGCTTTTTAAATTTAAATATACTTGTGTGTCTCAAGAACACAGTGTAGACTGTGATAAACCAAAAGGAAAGGGTCTGAAAGAAATCGGAAAAAAAGTGGTCACAAGATATTCTTTTTTAAAGTGTAATTATCACAATTGAAAAGGTAAAATAATAATAATAGATTTACTCACTCTTTACCAATGCAGCTCATTGATCCTGTAATTTGGCGTGCTTTCATTCAGGCTCAGAGGGAATCGTAGCATGTCGTCTGCTCAGCGGCGCCCCCTGCCTCCTGCACTGTCGAGTGAACGGCTCTGCTCTGGCCATGTGGCTGCGCTCTCCACTTCCTGCTCTCCCAGACTGCATCCTGTACCACTGTCAGAGAGCGCTCGCACAACACTAAACATCCACAGACCCGCTCATATCTTCCTGGGAAGCTCCGCAACAGTGTTTACAGGTGTCTGTGACTGATAATGCAACGACTATTTGAAAGCAATACTTGGCTATTGCGCGTCTGACTAATAATTTTATTGATATATATTTTTTGTACATTGAATTTCATTGTGTCAACAACGCTTACATAGAGTAAAAGTTATTTATTGATTTTAAACGTTTCCAGACTGTGGTTTGTTCCATTCAGGGGTGCGTTTCCCAAACAACAACTTAAAGGGTCACAAAACACCAAAACACATGTTTTGAGCTGTTGACAGTTGTATATGTGTCCCACACTGCTAAAACACTATTAGGACACCTATATTTCACTAAAAAGTGTAAATTGGTTGTTTTTGTGTTATTTCAAGCAAATTTGACTTCCGGTTTGAAACTAATTTTTGAAGCTGCGTCACGGCCATGACATAATAGCGTGTATTCCAGCGTGCAGACTGGGCGTCTGTGCCAGAGTGAGTCTTATTACGTCTTACAGTGTGATGCATTAATGTGTGAGTAAGGCTTGGTTCAAACCAATCAGCGCGCTCTATTGTGCAACTTCATTAATATTCATTAGTGTCACTGTGTTTACACGACAGAGACGCCACGTTGTGTTGGCAAAACAAGCGTGAAGTGTTGCTTTTATAGTTTGCTGCAGTTAAGTTTTGTTTTCATTTTCTCTCTGTGAGAGCGCAGCTAGCGTCACGTGTGGATTAACAGTGTACGCGACGCTCGACAACAATAACTTGCGTGTCTAAGGAGGATTATTGTTTACCTGAGAGCTGTTCTCATCTCCAAACACTGAGATCCGGATTTGATTGTAGTCTTCTCTTCATAAAGACGCGGCTCTAGTTGCTGGTGATTGTCCGGTCTCTACAGATTTGGTAAGTGAGCGGCCAGTGCTCTTTGTTTATTCAGTTTGTTCGTATCGAACTAAGTTAACTATTGCACCGAGTGTAAACATGTTAGCACCGCAACCAAACTTTAACCTCGTGTAGGATTTTTACCGCATTTAGTGATCGGAATAACACACGCGGCTTTCTGACGCTACCTGCCGTGTGCATCTAAGTTTCCTGGGAAATGCGGAGGTTTTTTTCTCTCATTCGCCTTGCGGTATCAAACATTGCATGAAAAATACACGCTTAGAGCAGTTCCTCGAATCAAATATCTCGTTTATCGCGAGGGGCATAAATGAATTCCCTGAATCAAAGAGCCAAACTGCAGTTAAAGTCCACCATTTAATAATTTGGCAAATAATTCGACTACAGATGTCCATGTAGGTTAAACACCATCACTTTCTCCTGTCTGTGTATTTTGACTCTGAAACTCGCGCGTGCCCAAATAGACACTCCCACACCCTCCCACTTCAGTTCCTCCGACACTCCCCCCTAAACAGAGCTGGACACGCCCACTTTTCTGACTTTTCCAAAGTAGAGGTGTGAAAACACCCTGCTGAAACGAGGGGGTTTCATGGCCCTTTAAGTCACGAGTGAACTATCATAGTATGATGCATCATTTGGAAACAATGTAGTGATGAATGTTTCCCAAAATCGTAGTTTCCCTGTCGCATATCCATCGTTTGAACCACGTTAGGTGTAACTAGTATAATAATCTGCAGATTTCAGTGGAATTATTTTGGGAGCATCATAACTAAAACGTTAGTATGTGAATTAAAAAATAATATATTTAATTTTTATTACTTTTATTTAATGTTTAAAATGCAAATCCAATTAAAATCACTTTATTTGGCAAGTCTCTCATATATTATATCTACTAAAAGACAGAAAATATTAGTTTACAAACTGCATTGAACATAAATCAGATAACCATTTTCATATTAGTCAGTAATATTACTAATTTTAAAACTGAATGTGATGAAAACGAGCCCACCAACTCATCTTCAAGGGGGAAGAAATGTGAGTTCGTAAAAAAAAATGATGGCTTACTCGCAAAGCACTGTCGTGCAAGGTGATATTTATTTACAGTGCCAAAAAAAAGTTTATCCACAGTGAAGATATATACAAGTGCTAACAAAAAAATAGTAATAAAAAGTACCAAAGAAACAACAAACAGGAAAATAAAATCTGCAAAAATATACTCCAATTATATCTACAATAATAATAATAACGATAATATCAGGTATCCACAATATACAATATACTTGCTTGAGGCACCACAGTTGCACTCTTGCATCGACTTGGTTAACAAGTGTTGTGAGAAAGTTGGGCTCTGGCTTATCTAGCCCAAACTCCCGCCCGTTTGTGGGCTAAACCATTCAACAGGTAAGTATTAAAACGTACAAATACACAAACATTAAATAACTTGACATTCAAGCCACACTTCACATTAAACACAAAAATAAAAAATCCTTAATATATAATTAACAACAAAACATACATTTTCTTAATATAAATAAACACATAATACACACTTCATGAACACAAAACACCTATTTAACAGACATAATGGTTTCGTCAGCTTCCGATCGCAGTGCGCATGCGCACACAATCCCAATCATTCTTAAACCAGCACTTCCGATGTGCTCGGTTTGACCGATCGCGACCGGAAGCCTGACTACGCCCACACAGACAAACACCAAACAGAGAAGACAACACAACAGGTGAAGTGGAGGTGTATGAAATGCCTATGGATGACTTATGAATTGCGGGGAGTGGATTTATGGAAATATGACCATTTGCTATCGAGATCGCGTGTGCACCCGCTCCTCCGATAACGGCAACGGCAGGGAGGAACATTATGATGAATGAATGAGGTAAGTGTGTTTGTGAGTATGTCTGCGTGTCAGCGCGTCTGTGTGTGTGTGTGTTTGCAAGTATGTGTGTGCGTGAGAATGTGCGTGTGCGTACGAGAATGTGTGTGTGTGAATGCCAGTGCTGCTTTCCCAGCGGTGACAGTTAATGTGACTTTATCACACTGAATAAATATAGATTTACCCACATTTACTCAATTAAATAAACAGAATTAATGATGGGCTAAAAATCTGCAGAATTCTGCGCGCGCAGATTGCGTGTGGGCCTAGGTATAACGTTAAACGTCCATAATGATGCTCTAAATGCAGAGGAGTAATAACTTGTTTAAAAAAGAATCCCATAATTTCTTTGTGCAAATTATATTGTTTTACACGCGCACACACACACACATAAAAAAATCCAATATTAGTCTTGGTAAAGACATGCACTCGTTTACCATATTAATTGCAATCTATGCAAATGACACATATAGGACCTGCGTTTCCTTTACAAATATTATTGAGAACATGACATATTCTATTCTAAATTAATATAAAATCACTTATAAAAGCTAACACGTATGCTAATATCATATATAAATCATAAATAAATACATAAATATAAATAAATAAATAAGGATGCTATTTATTAAGAAATTAAATTTAATATTTCGTCATCTTGGAATTATAAGGTTGTATCTGCGTTCTGAATGAATTTGAGATATTGAGATTTTAAAGTTTTTGCATTCCATAGTAAACAGCAGGTGTCTAACATTTGTTTTTTTAAATAAAACATTTTAAAATCTAAACAACTTATTAAAAAAACATCCCATTGTAACGCCGGGGGTGACACACACAACTGGAGGTAAGATCCAATATGCAGGTTTATTCAATGTCAAGCAAGCAATGGTCAAATCGGGTATTAACAGGTATATGCGGGCAAATCCAGAGTCGTAATCAATATTCAGGCAATAGGTCATGAGGCAGGCGGCTAAACAGGAGAACAAGGGTAAACAAGGCTAGGGTCTAAACACGGAGAAAACAAGACAAGGAGAAACGCGTTGTAATGTCACTGAAAGCAAACAAGACTCGGGCCAACTGGATGAGTGAATGAGTGGCTTATGAAGGGTGTCTAATCAGTCTCTGAAAGTCCTCAGGTGATGCGAGTGGAATCAGTCTAGATGAGTGAGCAGGCGTGAGTGTGACCGGAGAGCATGTATGCATATGTAGTCCAGAAGAAGGCGGAAGTGTAGTCCATGGTTATAGTGGAAACCAGCGATCTCCGGAGAGCGATCGCTGGTTATCGTAACACCCATAATGTAAATAAGTTTTCATTTAATAAGAATCTGTCAATAACTCAATTTTGACAAAAATGTAAGATAGAACCTTATAATTCTTAGGTGACGATTTATTATTTATTAGAAAATGAAAAAAAAATCATACTTTAATAATAATATTAATAATATTAATGATGATGATGGTAATGATTATTAATAAGTAGGATATTGTTTGTTTATTTTTACTTTTTTTTTAAAGTCTACTTTTACAATTTCACATGCAAACCACTGCTGAAATGTTCTAACCAGCAGGCCCATGTCATATACAGCACAGACACTTAATAAATAACCTACTATCAATTACAAGCGTTAACATATGCTATGCTTTTTTTTTTCAAGTAACATAAATCCTTTTAAATAATAGTTCACCTATAGCTTTCGTCATGGGCTACGGCTGTGTTCAAAATGACATCAATGTTTTCAGAGTGCACTGGGAAGGGAGTGCAACTTTAAACATGAAGATTGCAAAAACTGAGCTGTAAAAATACTTTAAAAGCAAATTACACCTAAGAGAGATGATCCTAATGCTTTTAATTTTTTAGCATGCCCACTTTGAATGTTAGAATGTTCTAAATGAATTGGGCATAGGGCGGATAACGGAGAATAGAAAACAGCCAGGAAATGTTTCTAACTACATCTCTAGAGGTGTAGTTACAAGCGCACAAGTTTGCAACGAAGCTGGCGAATGTTCGTTGGACTGATGGAATTGGGAAACGGCAAATCAACAAACTATGTTTGTAACAACGGACCTTGCGACTTTAGTTGGCTAACGATGACTTTTGGAAACGCACCCCAGGTGGGTATGTTCATTAGTTATTTGGAAAAAACAAAACAAAAACAAAGACGGGTTTGGCATTATTTTCAGATCATTTTATTGGCTGATGTAATTATTAAACAGTTTTGTTAGAAGACTTTTACATTATCAGAGCATGTTTTGATACTAATTAAATGTTAGAAAAAATATAAAAGATGCATGATACAATCAACCCCAAGCAGTAAACTACTGTAAACTATTTTTGTAGCGCATAAAAACTGACAATATTTAGTTCCGTTTGGCCAGGACACCAGAATTACACCACTGCGCTTTACGAGAAGTGCCATGGGATTTTTTTCATGACCACAGAGAGTCAGGACCATCTTATCCGAAAGACAGAGCTCACTGACAGTATGGTGTCCCCTTCACTATACTGGGGCATTAAGACTCATACAGACTGCAGGTTTAGCGCCCCCTGCTGGCCTTACTAACACCACTTCCAACAGCAACCTAGTTTTCCCATGTGGTCTCCCATCCAGTTACTGACCAGGCTCAGCCCTGCTTAGCTTACATGAGTAACCAGTCTTGGGCTGCAGGGTGATATGGCTGTGGAAGGTGTTATTCACCTTCATAAACTTTTTAAAAAGTTACTTGCCCAACCTTTAAAGCAACGTCCTCTTCCCTCATTGTTAGCCACTCATTTCATTTTTCACTGTCTGTTTTCTCAATTAACCTGCCGTTTATCTCAGAAATATAACACATCATGGAAGTTAAATCAGTTGACATTGTAGTTGAATACAGATTACAGATCATAAAATGCAAGATTTTACATCTGTAGACTATTTTGAGGGATGTAAACATTAACAGTTTATACAGCAATCAAAGAGACATTTCAAGACCTTTTTTACGACTCTTTCCATACATGTTAAGACCTCATCGCCACTTTAGGTTTCACACGGTAACATTTGCGACATTTTAATACACAGTATATTTACTAAATACTGATTGCAACAAACTAATCCTAAATTAAAACATCCATATACTGAATAAAAACGCTAAGTGGCATCTACAGAACTGCAGGATTTTATCCATTTCGTAAACTACACAGCAGCCTAACATTCCAATAAAATTCAGGCAAACTTTAGCATGCAACTATACATTGTAGAATCAAAAATGATGCAAAATTTAATACCTTGTAAAAAAAAAAACCTTTTATTACCTTTTAAGGGCCTTAAAAATTTCTCTAAATTGATTGATCAACATTTAATACTTTTTAAGACCCCACGGACACCCTGAATAACATTTTCTGTTTCTTAATTACTACAGCTTCTGATAATATAAAAAGGTCCATATATTGATACATAATATTATAATAGCTGTTTTAACGATAAGTTAGGATAGATTTACCTCTTGTTTGTTATGTATTAGTTTGACAACATGCAGGAAATTTTCAAGAGTGTAATGACATCACCACATGGTCTACTAGCAAAAATCACTTTGGTAGTACTGATCAGTACGTTACAGAACAGATTACCCAGTATTTAGTTGTTCTTGCCATTTTTAACCCTCTACGTTTAACTACCTACTAGTTGCTTGTGTTTGTTTTTGAGTTTGTGCATCTTTAAAAATCTTCAATGTCATTATAGAGTTGAAGCAAAGAGCTTAGAATGACCAAAAGGCGACGCTCTAGTGTAATTTGGGAAACAGCCACTAGAGGACGGCCATTTTGGAATGAAAACTCCAATAGAATAACAGTATATTATTAGTCTGTAAAATAAACTATTAAAAGTGCTGATGATTGTGATAGTAAGTGTTGTATTGTCGTCTTTCAGGTTGTATCTCAGCTTTAATATGCTTTTTAAATAGATACATAAAAAACAAAGCAGCTGCTTGCCATCACAAAAGTAATGAGATCCAATGGACGGCCGATCACTTTCACTTCAAAATGGCGAAATCCAGGGCTGTTGCTGGGCGCTGCTGTTGCAATGGAACGTTCTATTGAGTGTCGCCTCTTGGTCATTCTAAGCTCTTTGGTTGAAGTCAGAATTATTAGCCACCTGTATACTTTCCCTCAATTTTTGTTTAAGGGAACGAATATTTCTTTCAGCGCATTTCTAAACTATAGTTTTAATTGATAACTTATTTCTAATGACTTAACTGTTTTATCTTTGCCATGATGACAGTACATACTCTTTTGTAGATGTTTTTAAGATACTATTATTCAACTTAAAGTGACATTTAAAGGCTTAATTAGGTTAATTAGGCAAGTTTTGGTAACTAAGCAAGTCATTGTATAACAGTGGTTTGTTTTGTAGACCATCTGAATCAAATATTGCTTAAGGGGGCTAATAATATTGACCTTAAAATGGTTTAAAATTAAATAAAAGCTGCTTTTATTCTAGCCAAAATAAAACAAATAAGACTTTCTCCAGAGGAAAAAATATTACAAGAAAATACTGTGACAAATGCCTTGCTTTGCTAAACATCAATTGGCGAATAATTTCGACTCTTGGTCGAAGAAATCTAAATAGTACAATTTTATGTTTAAGGTAAGTTCAGTTGAACATCATATTGAAAAACAATTGATCTTTAACTCTTTGTTAAGTGCAAGGAATTTACTCTGTGCGCCTTGAAATGTTTATTCCTTTGAGGTGCGGTTGTCCGCTGTTTCTCCGTTGCTGTTTTGAGCTCGCGGGATGAAGCGCATGGCCAGGCAGTCGGGATCTTCTTCTACTGGCTGCATGGAGAGGTTGTTGGTCTGTCTGATGGTGCTGATGGTGCAGCCGTGACGAGGACAAACTGTAAACCTTGATAACATGGTTACTAGGATGGCCTTCGTCATCACCATAGCAATGTGCTTCCCAACACAGGCCCGCGGACCACAACCGAATGGCTGGAAGTAACGACTGGGAACCTGAGAAGGAGGCAGAGTTGATAAGACTAGCACATTTACAGTAATCCACTATTAATTGACTATTATGCCGTTTAAGTCTACTTCAAGAAAGAAAGCAGTTGTGTTACCAAGGTCGATGGCTAAAAATGGGTATAGTAGTGAATCCCCCACCTCTCAAGTTTGCACAGTATTATCAGAGGACCATAAAATTGTATTACTTCTGTATTTTTTTGGGAAGTGTCTGATTGCATTTCTCTAAATTCTATACTTCTCTAGTTTCACAAATCAGTGTTGATTTTTCAGTTTTAGAAAAAATGTACAACATTGCTACATATTTGTGGGAGAAAGTCAATAATTGGTTTGCGATCTACAAATGCACCAATTTAAGGGTCCTAATTACGAACAAAAAACTTTATTTTCAGGTTTGTATGTTATGTGATCATGTACAGTTGAAGTCAGAATTATTATGTTATAAATTATATTTATTATGTCTGATATTTTTTCTTCTGAAGAAAGTCTCATTTGTTTGATTTCTAGCTAGAATAAAAGCAGTTTTAAATTTTTTAAACATCATTTTAAGGTCAAAATTATTAGTCCCTTTAAGCTTTATTTTTTTCCGTCTACAGAACAAACCATTGTTATACAATAACTTGACTAATTACCCTAACATGCGTAGTTAACCTAATTAACCCAGTTAAGCCTTTAAATGTTACTGTCACCGTGGCAAAGAAATCAGTTACTAGAGATGAGTTATTAAAACTATTATGATTAGAAATATGCTGGAAAAATCTCTCCCTTAAACAAAAATTGAGGGAAAAAAGAAACGGGGGCTAATAATTCAGGAAGGCTAATATTTCTGACTTCAACTCTAGATCAGGCGAGGCAGTGGCGCAGTAGGTAGTGCTGTCGCCTCACAGCAAGAAGGTCGCTGGTTCGAACCTCGGCTCAGTTGGCGTTTCTGTGTGGAGTTTGCATGTTCTCCCTGCGTTCGTGTGGGTTTCCTCCGGGTGCAGTTGAATTGGGTAGGCTAAATTGTCCGTAGTGTATGAGTGTGTGTGTGTGAATGTTTCCCAGAGATGGGTTGCGGCTGGAAGGCCATCCGCTGCGTAAAAAAAAAAACAAACTTGCTGGATAAGTTGGCGGTTCATTCCGCTGTGGCGACCCCGGATTAATAAAGAGACTAAGCCGACAAGAAAATGAATGAACTCTAGATCAGATTTGTCACTTTCACATTTGGTCTCCAAGCTGAATTCATAAGATCTGTATTTACAAAGCAAGGTAGTACCCCAGGCTACCATGTAATGCTTCTGTATTTTTGTTAAATTTCAGGTTGGACTTCTCAGAATTTACTGATCAATACTGTTCATGAAAACTAGTTTTGATTGTAAAAGAATGTGAATAATTATAATAGAATACATGAATGCGCCAATTTGTGCTTCACATTTAAGTGGCATACGCTTTATATACATGTTTGTATTGTCTTTGTCAATCTTACATCTCACAATACTTACATCATAGGTCTTAAACTCAATTCCTGGAGGGCCGCAGCTGCAGAGTTTTTCTCCAATCCTAATCAAACACAGCTGATCCAAGTAATCAAGGAGTTTAAGACTTCTAAAGACTATTAGGGAGGTGCGAGTTGGAGCTAAACTGTGCAGAGCTGCGGCTCTCCAGGAATTGAGTTTAAGACTGTTGACTTACATTGTTCATTGTTCTACTTCAAGAAAGAAAGCAGTTGGGTTACTAAGGCAGATGGCTAAAAATGGGTATAGTACTGAATCCCCCCACTCCTCAAACTTGCCCAGTATTATCAGAGGACCATAAAATTGTATTACTTCTGTATTTTTTCTTGTGTCTGATTGCATTTCCCTAAATTTTATACTTCTTTAGTTTCACAAATCAGTGTTGATTTTTCAGTTTTTGGAAAAATGTACAACGTTTTTACATATTTGTGGGAGAAAATCAATAATTGGTTTGAGATCTACAAATGCACCAATTTATGGGTCATAATTACGAACAAAAAACTTTATTTTCAGGTTTTTTATGTTATGGGATAATGTAAATCAGATTTGTCACTTTCACTTTTGTTCTCCAAGCTGAATTCATAAGATCTGTATATACAAAACATGGTATTACCCCAGGCCACCATGTAATACTACTGTATTTTTGGTGAATTTCAGACTGAACTTTACTGATCAATACTGTTTGTAGAAAGATGTATAACAGAACTTGTATTGATTGTAAAATAATATGAATAATTATGGTCTGTATGGTCTCAGATTCTCAAAGTACCTACATCATAGGTCTCAAACTGGATTCCTGTAGGGCCGCAGCTCTGCACAGTTTTGCTCCAACCCTGATCAAACGCAGCTGATCCAAGTAATCAAGGTGTTCAAGAGTACTAGAGACTGTTAGACAGGTGTGCGTTGGAGGTGGTTGGAGCTAAACTATGCAGCGGCCCTCCAGGAATTGAGATTAAGACCATTGACTTACAGTGTTCTCGAAGTTCTCCAAGCTGAATTCGTTGGGTTTTTTGAAGAACTCTGTCTTATGCATGCGTCCAATGTTCAGGATTAGGTTTGTCCCCTTTGCCACCCGGTAGCCATCAATGTAGTCATCCTCCAGAGACTGCCTCATGATGAAATCCACCACCGGATGGTACCTCAGGGACTCTTTGATGAAGCGCTCTAGAACATTCAGTTTCTGCAAGTCAGCAGACTCTACATCTCGCGAGCCTGAGAGGACAACAAAGACAAATAATAGTAGCGTTATTCTTCTGAAGTATCCTTTCTAAAACCAGTTTCGGGAGATGACCTTCACAGTTATTGGCTGATCCAATTGGTCTAGATTGGGTGACTTGCTGTTGGCTCTAAGACTGACCATGTAGGCCAATTTGGGGCATCAAGAAAGAAGATACCTTAAAGTTTATGTGAAATCAAAATATACAATGTTAATTTTGCTAGCACACATGTTATTCTTTAGATGAATAATTAATCTGTGCAAGTTATTCACTGAAAACCTGGCTTGTTTTGGTAATCTTCAATCAAAGTCTAAGCATTTGCTTCTGCGTTTGGATTGGCTGCTTATCTGATGATGTCAGTTTGACACCTCAGCTACAATATCCTTAACCACACCCCTCTTATCTTTGATTTGCTATGAGGGTGTGATGCGCAACCCCCTAACCCCCCACGGTCACCCCCGTCCCCTACTCAATATTCCGTTTCAGTACATCGACATACTTGAATCTCTCAGTAAGTTCTGGTTCAAGCAGACTTCAAAGTATGCAGCTTCAGACCTGCATCATACCGAGATGCCTTGTGAAGGTTTACTGTACCTATCTGAGACTGTATCTCCTGTACGATTTGCTCTTCCACAGCAGAGTTTTGCTTTAGCAGCAGAAGCATGAAGAACAGACTGATGGAGAGCGTGTCTGGAGCAGCGATCACCATCTCCAGCACACACTGCCTCACGTCGTCCACAGACAGCTCATCATGGTTCTGAAGAAACATCCGGTAAGTTGACCTGTTGTGTTGCTGGAAGTATTTGGAAATAGTATGTGTGTTTTAAAAATGTATATATGTTAACACACCTGAGCAAATATCAGCTCTGTTGCGAAGTCCATTTCATCTAGCTTCTCTGTGTTATTGATGGCCTGTCGCTTTTGCTCCACAAGCTTTCCCATTTCATCCTGCAGCTCTTTTCTGCAAGAAAATTAGTTTTTGAAAGGATATACGCCGTAGGGAAGGTTTAGCAAGGGTTTTTCCTTCCAAATTATTTGTCGACATTATCAAATGTGCAACAATTGTTGATGGAAATCTTTCACTGTTACCACATCTTATGGTAAAGTGTCAGGTCTGTGGTGGACTCACGCTGCCAGGTGGTATTTTCTGTACACAAAGTCCAGTTTGAAGAAAATATCGGGCTGTATGAGAACCGTCTGCCAGGTACTGAAATACCGGTGGATCTTTATTAGTAACTCTTTCTCTGCATTGAACAAGCATAAAAGAGAGTGTTAGAAAGGTTTCCCAAATATCCTTTCATTTAGAGCCATTTCTTACAAGCAATGGAAAGATTGAATGGATCCTAAAGGTTCTTTGACGAACTGTAGAGTCCAAATAAGAACCTTTAATTTAATAAATTCTACTTTTGAACTTCTATGGTCTGTTAGATCCATAGGAAGTGATCAGCGTTATTCGATTCATCATAATATTTTGGCTCATCAGTGTATAAGGGCGTACTCACACTATGTACAGTTGCTTTGAATAGGGCCAAAGCACGCTTGTCCCCCCCTCCCGTCTCCCCTGATGACCCGCACTCACATTACAACCGTTCCTGAATCCAATTCAGAGCACTTCCACTTCTCAAATGATGCATTGCAGACCTTTGGCACTGGCAAACCTCCCTGTGTAATTATTGCTCTTCAGGACATGGTACACAGCGGAGGATCTGAAACAGTTTTAGGTTCTACTATTTACACTTTAGTGCCCTTGTCAACACTTGATGACGTAATTGGGCGTTATGGACTTGAGTTGCAGACTATTGATCTTATTCTTGACGTACGAGCAGGCCAGCCATTGGAAGCTTTTTGGCTCAAGACTTCCGGTCTCATTCACTTCCATTGGATTTTAGACTATAAAAACAGCTCATTTTGCTGCTTGATGTTGCAAACTGATATTGTCTTATTATATTCTTCTTCTTTTGATGTATAGTCATGAACACTTGTTTGTAGAGCAAGTAGTTTGACCGTTTTCTGCCGTTTATTATAGTCATTTCTCCCATAGGTAACTGAATCGGAAGTTCTAAAACAATCACAAAAGCGAACGCGTCATCGATTATGCGCTTTTTAGTAAGAGATTTCTCTCAGCACAGCAGAGATTTCCTTAGTTATATCGCTTTAGTCGTTTGGAATGCGGTGACACGCAGTCAAATATTTTACCGAACTGATCAGTCACTTTTGACGCTCATAAACAATCATAAAGTCCTCATTCTGTAGGAATTAGGAAGTTTTCTGAAGGCGCAGCTGTGGTGCAGTGAGGAGTTTGCATCTTTAATAAACGCTTACAGTTTCAGGCTTAGGCACGCTTTGCACTCACACACAAGTGTACTGCGCCAAAGCCCAAATAAACTGTGCTCTGGCACACCTCTTCCAACCTGGCCAGGGCTGGCCAAGTGAACCGTTCCTGAACCCAATTCAGAGCACTTCCACTTCTCAAACGATCCGGGAAACAGGCCTGGGCACGGTTCGGATAGCATAGTGTGAGTAGGCCCTAAGTTCACAGCATGACATGATCTTCTTCTGGCAATGGAAATACCTGAACCAGTCAGATCTACAAAGAACTCGGGAACAACACAGGAACTCTTTCTGAACCAAAAGAACCATTAAGGAGTTTGCTGACCATTGAGAGGGATTCTTAGGAAGAGTCTGTTGGAGACGTCCACCACGATGCAGCGCAGGAGATTGAGCACATCCACATGTCCTGAGGCGTCTGTGAACTCCTGCAGGACGTCAAGCTGTCTGTTGGTGGCGCTCACACACACCTCTACTGACTTCTGGAGACCTGGACCTGTAAGAGCTGAACAAACACACAAACAACACAATTCTGATGATTCTCTGTGTGAAATGATGTGAGACCAGAGATTAACACTCACCTTTAGTGAAGTATGTTCTCACTTTCTTCCACTTTGCGATGTTGCTGTTGAAGATGATGCCTTGTTCAAACATACCTATGCATTGCAGACCTTTGGCACTGGCAAACCTCCCTGTGTAATTATTGCTCTTCAGGACATGGTACACAGCGGAGGACCTGAAACGGTTTTAGGTTTTACTTTTTACACTTATGGTGCCCTTGTTAACACTTCATGACATAATTTTGAGTTGCAGACTATTAGTCTTATTCTTTATGCACGGATGCCGCCAATGGAATCTTTTTGGCTTGAGACTTTCTGTCTCATTCACTTCCATTGATTTTTAGACGTTACAAATGGCTCGTTTTGCTGCTTGATGTTGCAAACTGAGATTTCCTTATTATAATATTCTGCTTTATCTGTATTGTCATGTTTTTACTTGTCACTTGTTGGTAGAGCAAGTAGTTTGGCTGTTTTCTGCTCTTTATTATTCCTAGTCATTTCTCCCATAGATGACTGAATCGTATGTTCTACAACAGTCACAAAAACGAGCACAGTTCCACATCGCAGCATAAGGTCAATACAAAACAAATGAGGTTTTAGCATCATAAGGGCACTTGTGAGCACCTTTTTAAAGTTCATTTGACTATTCGGTGTGATTGATGATACTCAGTAAAAATTGAGCATAATCAGAAATGAATTTTAATTGCTAATACGGTCGATTGAACAATTTTATTCAGTAAAATGGGAATCCATGAAGTTGACAAACAGATATGCTTGAAAATGAGGGTCATGTATCTCTAAATTTGATTGTTTTTGTAGTGGGTGTTTCAGCAAAACCTAAATTAAAACTAGAAACAACAGATTTTATATGATTTGGAGATACAGCATAATATCCTACGGCATGAAAATACAAGCATTCAAAAAGAGTCCACATTTTAAAAATGACACCGTGATTGTAATGTGTACCACAAAATGTAACTATAAATGGTGACGTCTTGTGGTTGTGTGCTACACTACAGTCTATACACATGTGCAAGTACTTGACAACCAAAACTATGGCTGTTTCTCAATTCCAAGAACGCAGAGAACGGACTTGCGTTTTTGTGAAGACCCGTCTTGCAAGGTCACCTCGGAAAAACGAGCTCGAGAGACCGCGAGAACAGAGAACACGTCCTGTGGGAAATGAGACTCTGCGTTCCTCCTGATGGTCATGTGACCTTCATGCATTTTTAATGGAAAATGATTTAAACATTACAGCATTCATACAACGATTTATTGTTTTCCTCCTTTAATATACATAACATGCACAAAAACCTTACAGATATAGTTGCACAACACAAATAAAACTGATTTTCAAGAGTTCACACTTAGCTGATGATTGATTATAAAGCTTGTTTGGCATGCTGTCCCTGGAGAAGCCCTGAGCCCATAAGATCCTCGAGCCCGGGGCTCCCCCCCCATTTGCAAGGCGAGAGGGGAGTTTTAGCTCAGGTAGATCTCGAGAACTCCCCTGCCATAGTAGCTTATGAACAGAGAGTGATTGCTCTTAAGAGATAACTACTTACTAGGAGCATGTCTACAGTGCCGATTTGGATTAGTCCGTTAACTTAAGTTGCATGTTTTTGGAACGTTGCAGAAACGTTGACTGGCTTGGTAAGTACTAGAACCAGTAACGTTCTTGCTGCGAGGCAACAGTGCTAACCACTGGGCCACCATGCCACCCATCTAGGAAAGGAGGAGGAGTTGGGGTGGAAGGTGGGATTCCTCAAAACGAAGTTGGCTGTTATATAAAACTTAGGGTATTTATAGTGGCTTAGGAATCGTCTGATTGGTGAATCCCAAATTGAGTAATGGGGGACCAGCCGCAAGCAATAAGAATAATAAGCAATTGATCCTCTCGAAATTTGTTGATCAACAAACTTCAATTAATAGAAATTTCAGCAAATAAACAACTTTAATGTGTTTATTCCTTTATTAAGATTTCATGTTATGGTTTAATTTCGTCGACTCATTTAGGGAAACTCCCGAGATAAATAAGTCAAATCTCTGAACTTTAATAATAAATCTATGTAAAATGTTGCGCTTCCCACCTCCAGTCACAAGGACTTTTGGGACTTTTTAGAGCGAGTTCGGTGCTCAAGTCTGCATCAAAGCATCCTCGATATCAAGAACACATCCGGAAACTTTCACTTGTCCTCCGTTCTCGCGGTCTTGAGTTTTGGAACTGAACTTTTGCGCTTGATGATGACGTTACACAAGAATACTAAGACGCAAGATCGCTGAAGAGTGCATATTTAGAAACAGCCTTTTAATAGTGGACTACAAGACTTTACGTAGGCATGTGCAAAGAGTTCATTAACAAAGTGACATCGCCACCTATGGGCCTGGCATGCATATTACACCATTTTCACCATTTCCTCAAGATCGATTTGGATGAATTTTGACAAAATGGTCAACTGTATACAAAACATTCTTGATTTTTTTCAACAAATATTTCTCTAAATTACACTAACATGCCTAAATTTTCAAGTTTTTGCACCGTGTATAGAATATTACTGATAAAAATTTAAAGTAGCATATTATTTTCAAGATTTCAATTTTATTTTGTTAAATTTTAAGCAACTTATATTGCACTGCAGCATTGACCTTAGTTTGTATAACTACTAAAGACATTACTTTATCCTGCAATGTGGTAGTGCGCTCGTTTTTACGATTGTTTTAGATCTTCCGATTCAGCTGCCTATGGGAGAAATGACTACAAATAATAAACGTCAGAAAGCGGTAAAACTACTCGCTTTACAAACAATGGTGTTCATGGCTACACAAACAAGGCAGAATAAAATAATAAGACAATATCAGTTTGAAACATCAAGCAGCAGAACGAGCTGTTTTTAACGTCTAAAAATCAATAGAGGTTAATGAAACCTGAAGTCTTGAGCCAAAAAGATTTGGCTGCGCATCGTATGCAAGACTACAGTCAATACAAGACTTCTGCTCATGAAAGTAATCAGTATCTAATGGCAGATATAGATTAAATGGATGTTAAATTTGCTACATTTTTTTTAGACTTTTTACACTTGCTTGCTTAGTATAACAGTCTCTTCTCCATTGATCCAAACTCGAGCGATGCTGCCGTATTTCTCATTGTAGTAGTTGCACGCCGTGCCGATGCCCATCCAGAGGAACCGACTGTAACTCAGAACCGGCCCCAGACCCAACCACCAACCGGGACCTAAACACGTATCACAACTATTATGACCAGTGGGTGGGTTGATCCCAGTAAATCTAATGGGGTTTACCTCACCTGGAAGAGCTGATTGATTCCTCCAATTCTTGACACCAAAAATTCTGTGCAGCAGAATCAGCATTAAGGTTCCCGTCAGCAGCAGTAATGTTCCCTGCACCACAGCGCCGATGTTTACCGCATCCTTTACCACATGCTCCATCATCACCTCACATACAGACACACCTTAAAGCACAGAAATCCCTCTCAGAATACATGGAAATGAGGCTGAAAATCTGCAGCATAATTGGCTAATAATGCACTACTCTGTAAGTCCCGTTAAAATGAGTGTCAGTATTGTTAGTTTAAGGATGTCTGTAAGCTAGTGAGCTCCAAAACAGTGTCAAAATTTGCTTTGGAAGTTATACAACTGATATAAACATGTAAGCTTGTAGTTTGTCACTTCAGCCTTAATGGATTAATTTTATTCACGTCACCTCATACTTCAGTTTCTCATCAAATCTTGACCAATCAAATGCTCCCTAATATCTGACATGCCCCGCCCCCTTCAACACGCTTTAAATTTGATGTGCTTGGGCTCAATCACTCTCACTGGCAGAGCAAAGCATTATTGGCTGTTTTTTAAAAAGGGGAGGAGCTACACTATGTCCTGCCCGCTCTTTGTGTTTCGGTTGAAATATTTACTTAATAATATCGCTGGCTATACATTTAAATTGTACCTTTTTCAGAAGTAACAATTTTCTTTGCTTTATTTTCACTCCACAGCTTTTCGTGATGAATTAAAGTGATGTTTTGATTCTGTAAGGCAGAGGTGTCCAAACTCAGTCCTGGATTGCCGGTGTTCTGCTGAGCTTAGCTCCTACTTGCTTCAACACACCTGCCAGGAGGTTTCTAGTATATCTAGTTTGTCTTTTTTTTTGTTATTAATTGACAGTTTTGCCTTCCACCATTGTAACTAATTTAACTCCTGATTTAACTTCAGTAAGAATAATTTACTGAAACTATAACCAACAAATTGAACGTGGCTTTAGTGAAACTAAATAAATTTGAACTTACTTTATAAAATGCTAAATTTATTTAATGAATCTATTTTATTTTAGATAGTTGCAGAGGCAATATTTTAGTTTAGCTTTGGAAAACTAACGTAACTAAAATGAAAGAATTAATAAAACAAAACGCTACAGATCCTAAAAAAGGTGTTTAAATATTGCATTTAAATAAATAAACATTGTAAAATAATGATATTAAATCAGTATTTTGTATATATTCATATTTTTTTCTTGCAAAATAATAATTCTTATTTAAAAATTTGAGAAATTTTTGAAATGGAAAAATTAAAGAAATGGAAAAAAAAGAAAATGACAAAAACACACTTACCAAAAATTATTAAAAACAATTAAACTATTAAACCTTATTTAAAATAATGATAAATATACTAATTATTATTATTATCAGTTAAATATATAAATATATATTACATTAGTTAATATAAATTAATTATAATAAATATTAATTAATAATAATAAATAGATATTGAGTAATTAACTTAATCTGAAGGTTCAAGCTTTATGTATTTATTATTATTATTATTATTATTATTATTATTTTGAACCCTGAATATTCAGATTATGCTAAATACTCCACTTTAAAAAAATATTTTGCTTGTGAAACAACAAAGTAAACAAACAGCTTTTATTATGTAAAAACTTCATAAAACTTCATTCCACTCCCAGTATGGTATTCAACACATTTTTATGCAAGATTTTACTTTTATCCCTTCCATCAACCTCATCAGTTCAAATGACATTAATTTAAATTAGTGAATTAACGAAATTAGTTAATTTTCATCTGTCGAGCTAAGAACTCACACCTCAGCCTAATAAATGATCATCAACAATCTTTTGCAATAATATAACAAACCCACTCACCTCTTTAAATCATTTCTGAACATACAGCTCAGACCTGCCGTCCTCAGGCTTCCATCATCCCCAACTTCATCAGCGGGTGTTTCAGCCCAAATATATACTCTCCCCCTGCTAAAATCCCCAGTTGCCAAGGATTTTTCTTGTGAAGTGCTTTTGAAAGCTCAAAGCAGTCCAGCAGACACGTCCAGAGCTGAACAATGAAACAATGATAGACCAAAGTAGAGGAGGCTGAAGAAAACCCACATAAAAACGGGCCGTGTGCAATACTGTTAGCTCTTTAATGCGAAACACACATCTTTTCCTCCACTCTTGTTATTTTCAGGGCTTTGTTGACCTCTGTCTTGGTTCCAGATCCAGTCTTTCATTCACTAAAGGGCTTTTAATGAAGGCAGGTCAGACTGACCCAGAACCAAACCAGTGAATGAGCTTTTATTGACCAAAGATGTGAAGGATGGAAACAATGTTGCCTGAGAAATGCGAGCGCTCGTTTGGCTTCTTACAAATCGGTGGGGTACACGTAATCCGTTTTTATTATGTGTTTATTTGGGAGGGCTTTGAACCTAATAAACCTGTTACTATTAAAACTGGAATCATCGTGTGAGGCTTAGAGGTTTTTCTAAACTAAATTAAAATATCTTGGATTTGACAACAGTCTGAATAATTAAATGGCCTTCAGGAATAGTTGGTTTTGATTGGACAGGGCTGTGTTTTTGTATATATTGTCAAACATTTCATATTTAATTTAGATTTGGCCTGCATTTCATGTGTAAAATATTAGTATAGTGGAAAGGTATTTTTCCTATTCATTTTTCCTGTAGGTATTCTTAAAGGTGCCATGTTAGTTTGTTCTGTGATATCTACATGGTGGGTGGGTTGGAATACTTATAAAAAATATCCAAAATGGATTTTATGTATTTACTTATAACCAGAGGAACTATTCCTAGTATAAAAGCTCAATTTGACCATATTTGGAATGGTCATGAATATTAATGAGCTCTGCTTTGATGTGGCAGCTTGTCAGTGCCTGCTTTCCAAAAAACACACAAACACAGATCGTGATGAATCTCAGCAAGAGCTGAGTGGCATGACACATTGCAGAAGTCTTCACGTGTTTGTTCTTTCATCGAAAACATATGCTGGAAGTTTCACAATATACAATAAGCTAACAAATTCAAACAAAGCTTAGACCATTTCAAGGCACGCTGAAAACATTTATAATCTATATATCCTGCATTTTATGTTCTGACATGTTATGAACAGAAAGCTGGCAGAGAACCGCTCCTTATTAAAGCCCATTGCTCCACACTAGTGCGACCATTCAGTTCTGTCTGCTTACAAACGTATAGAAAACATTAAGACATGACGTGGCTGGTTGTTTTTCAAAATAAGAGTCCTATGTACACAGTATTATAAACTTAGATAAACTTAAAAAATAAGGGAATAATATATGTAACCTCTTCAAAAGGGGCCTCTTCAAAAGGGGGCCCCGTCAATAATCCCTGCGTGGGGGCCCTCACATCTTGCGCTACGGCACTGCCTCTAGTGTTTGTTGCTAGAGCCCCTTTAGAAGTCAGCGGAGTTAGGTTTACCTGCATAGCACTTTGCTTGCGGGCCTCTGTTAAACTCATCCCCCTAAGCTTCACTCTCATCCCGGACGAGCCCCCACATGTAACCCAAAAGTCCTACTGCACCAAACCCGGTCTGAGCTGGGATCGAACTGACGGTTGTGTGCATGGGAGTTGGTTGCTCTAACAAGGAGGTTAAAGACCATGGCCTCTAGCGACTGTCGCTAGAGCACCTTTAGAGGTTAAAGGAGTGAGTTTTACCTTTATAGCACTTCGCTAGCTGGCCTTCATTTCGCTCACCCTTCTAAACCTTACTCCCATCCCATACGAGCCCCCACATGTAACCCACCGGCCCTACTGCACCCAACTTCTGCTGAGCTGGGATCGAACCAGTGACTCTTCGTCTTCGCATGCTTCAGTTGCTCTAACAAAGAGGCTAAAGAGCATGGCCGCGTCTGTTTCTATAGTATCTTTAGAGGTCAGAAGAGTGAGGTTTATCTAGTAAAGGAACAAATAAAATAATCAACGATAAATCCCAAAATAATTGATCTTAAGATAGAAAATGTTCACTTTACAGATAGAACATGCTCAAACTAATTTTTGAGATTTTTTAACACAGTGTTGTTTTCCAGGACCTGTTAAGAGAGCTTATATTTTGTCTCATTGTGATAAAAAAGATATCTATGATATTAGAAAAAGATTTCTTTCATATCCTGTTAATACTAAATGTAAAGAAGTGCGCTAAAGAATATCTAAGGTTAAAATTCAATATTGGTGAATCAAATGTAGGCCAGTTTTGTAATTTGTCTTTGTAATTTAGATATTGAAACAACTAACACTTGTTTTCCCAATGTAAAGAGGTAAAGATTTTGGGACGAAGTATTAGTTTGGATACAACAGAAAATATCTATAAGACTTGTCTTCTCATGGGAAATTATTAAGTTTGACCTAAAACATAAGGATAAAAGGATATCTTATATAATAAATAAATTGATGTCATTATTAAAATTCTATATTCATAAATGTCATTTTTTTTTAATTCCCCCAAGACTAGTGGTGTTTAAAGAAGAGTTTGTGATATATGTGAAGACATTAAGAGAGATGAAAAGCCAAAAAGCAAGATATTATTATTCATCATTAAAGGATTTTGGTTTCATATTTTGAGAACTTCTACTCCCCTGCTACTTAAGTTTCTGTAGCATTTATTTTTTGTTCATTTTTGTTATTTATTCATAGATGTTGTATTATTAACGAGGATGGAAAGAGTGTGAATGTATGCAATTTGATTGTTTTCTCAGTCTTTTGTGTAATTCTAAAAAGTATTAATGCCTTTCTGTTACTGTTCAAGCAATAAGAAAAAAAGAAAAAAGGAGGAAAAAAAGCTTAATTTGTCCCGGAACACTCCGGATCCGGCAACTGAAATCTTAAAATCTTGTTTCCGATCCCCCTCCCTCCTCAACAGCCCTCCTCCCCCGTCTGCTGTTCACTTTCTGTTTCACTTTCTTCCACGACTCCCCTCTGCCATCCAACAACGGGAGGAGTGTTAGAAGAGTAACATTACGCTACTTTGGCATTGCAAGACATCAAAGCATTGCCAACATTTCTATCCGGTCTTCGTAAAGGGGAACTGGAATTGCAGAAGGAAACAGAATCGACTGCTACAACGGTCTTCTGATGCAGAGGTGTTTCGACGACTTAAGCTCATCTCCTGCCTAAATGTTAGTTTCATCTGAAACTCTTTAGAACACTGGTTTACCCATTAAATACGTCGCTCTGTAAAGATTTGAGTCAGATTAAAAGCAATATTTTGAGTTCAAATCATTTTAAGTAGGTAAAGCTCGTCAGTTCCTCAAACAGCGTGAGAATGAACTGCGGTCTTCTGAGTGGGTTGAATGAGCCAGGTAAGAATTCACAAACTTTCTTTACTGTTTTCGGCTTTTAAATAAAGTAATCTCTATTTGATATGTGGGTTCGTACACACCGGGAGAAGGGTTGCCACCCGTCCCTTAAAATACGGGATATGTCCCGTTTTTAATCAGTATATACGGGACAGGTTTTGTCATTTATCATTCCTGGAAAGCAGCTTATATGCAAATCATCCCACACGCATTTTATGTAGATGCATCATTTCCTACTTTTGATTGGGTAATACTTGACGTCATTGTTAGTTTGATTGGTCTTTGTCCTGTGAGGAGGGCGGGTCTGTCAAGTCTTTACAGAGAGTAACAGTAGATGCTTCTTCAGGTAAACCCCCCAGGTAAATTGATATCAACCAAACTGCACGATTAGTCAGAGAGCGTTCTCTGTGGCTCTTGTGGGTATGGCAGACGTTTGCCCACCCTACTGAAATAACTTGTTTTAGCTGGTCTTCTCCCAGCATGACCAGCTAAAACCAGTTATTTCCAGTTTAAACCAGGCTGGTCAAGCTGGTTTTAGCTGGTCATTTTCCAGCCTGACCAGCTAAGACCAGGCTGGAAATGGCTGGAAACCAGCCTGGAAGTGGCCAAAACCCCTCTGAAACAAGCCTGGTTGACCAGCTAAACCTAGCCAACCAGGTTAAGCTGATTTAAGCTGTTTTTTTCAGAAGGGTGTGGAGGGCGGTTCTTTTAAGCAGAGTCTGTCAAGTCTTGACAGAGAGTAATGACAGAGCTCACAAAAATCAAAGCACAGTCAGACAGTTCTTCGTACCCCAAATCTCTCCCGAAGCAGACATGGTAATGACAGTGTAATCATTGTCAACAATATTTAGGTTAATTGATAAATAATGCAAAGAAATTGACCCAGTCTGTGAATATCTAGCTGGAGTTTTTTTTTTTTTTTTTTTGTAATTTACTGTTTTCTACATGAAATAAATGTAACGGAGGCCAGCTAGTGTGTGCTGTGCAGGTAAACCTCACTCCTCTGACCTCTAAAGGTGCTCTAGTGACAGATGCTAGAGGCCATGGTCTTTAGCAACCGACTCCCATACGGAAGGTCGTCGGTTCGATACCAGCTCGGAGCGGGTTGGGTGGTGCAGGACCGGCGGGGTTACATAAAGAACAGTCTGTGAAAAAAATAAAAATATGTGTATTTATTATTTAGTGAGTAAAACCATGCCAACAAATGAAATCACAGTGAAATGAATGGCTACAATCAAACTTGATCTCAGTATTAGATTTGGCCTGGTTTTCACACACTGGGTCAAATATTGTAATTTGTAAACATTCTGTAATTGAAATGCAAGTGAATCTTATTCCAATGCAATATTATGATTTGTTTGTTGAGGTTAAGTCAGGCACATAAGCATTAATTTATTACATGAAGTTTTATATTTAATACATTAATAAACAGCAATATGCCCGTGTAAAGAAAATCAACTAAACTGTAACTTTCCATATTTTTAAATTATAAATGTGCTATATGAAAACTTTACTGGCTAATGTTTGTAGATAGTTTATGTATGTGCTGTTTCCATGTTTGGATAGATGTTACTGCAAATAATGACAAATATTTTAGCCAAAATCTGTTATCAATTTCACCTAATATTAGGTTCAGTGTGTTCTCCTCTAGGTTACAGCAGCTGAGTTAACTCAAGTGTACCACACTATTAAACATGACATCAGCTATATCAGTGCTGCAGAGTTGTAAAAGAGAAAGACTGACTGCATCTGTTTACACAGATTACAATAAAAGACAGTTTATTTTAATGTCCAAGTGTTAACACTCTCCTGAAAACATATTTTAAGCTGTGATTGGGGATGTGGCCACCCCTGCAGTATGCGTCCCTTATTTTTTTTTTTTTATTAAAAGTGGTAACCTTAGTTTGGGTAAGCGTTAATAAATTACAAGAAATGGAAAATTTAATGAATAATATTAATAATTCTAGTTAAACTTCGGCCACAACTGTGTCTGATCTTGCAACAACCCTGTTTTATGACCAGAACAAGACATATTTATTCACAGTGTTTATTCGGATGTCAGACCAATGTTGAAACAAAACTATACAAGAACAGCATTTCAAACAGATTTTAAGTCATTCAAAAATAACTGAATTAGCCTAAATTCGAACTCGCTATCCTTGCATGCTGATCTGGAACTCTCACCACTCCACTACACCACTTGAAGGGTCAACTCTCATTTTTTTTTCCTGTCAGACCGTTTATACATTTACATTTACATTTAGCCATTTAGCAGACGCTTTTATCCATAGCGACTTACAAATGAGGACAAGGAAGCAATTTACACAACTAAGAGCAACAATGAATAAGTGCTATAGGCAAGTTTCAGGTCTGTAAAGTCTAAGAAGGAAAGTATTAGTAGTATTAGTATTTATTTTTTTTTTGGTACAGTTAGTGTGATATTCAGAGAGGCAATTGCAGATTAGGAAGTGAAGTGGAGACTAAATAATTGAGTTTTTAGTCGTTTCTTGAAAATAGCGAATGACTCTGCTGTTCTGATGCAGTTAGGGAGTTCATTCCACCAACTGGGCAGATTGAGCGCTAGAGTTCGGGAAAGTGATTTCTTCCCTCTTTGGGATGGAACCACGAGGCGATGTTCATTCACAGAACGCAAGTTTCTGGAGGGCACATAGATCTGCAGAAGTAGGAGCAGATAAGAAGGAGCAAGGCCAGAAGTCACTTTGTAAGCAAACATCAGAGCTTTAAAGGGTCACGAAACACCAAAACACATTTTTTGAGCTGTTGACAGTGGTATATGTGTCCCACACTGCTAAAAACACTATTAGGACACCTATATTTCACAAAAAAGTGTAAATTGGTTGTTTTTGCGTTATTTCAAGCAAATTCGTACTTCCTGTTTGAAACGAATTTTTGAAGCTGCGTCACGGTCATGACATAATAGCGTTGTATTCCAGCGTGCAGACTGGGCGTCTGTGCCAGAGTGTGCCTTATTACGTCTTACAGTGTGATGCATTAATGCATGAGTTAGGCTTGGTTCAAACCAATCAGCGCGCTCTATTGTGCAACTTCATTAATATTCATTAGTGTCACCGTCTTTACACCACAGAGACGCCACGTTGTGTTGGCAAAACAAGCGTGAAGTGTTGCTTTTACAGTTTGCTGCCATTAAGTTTCGTTTTCATTTTCTCTCTGTGAGAGCTTATCTGGATCACGTGTGGATTACAGTGTACGCGACGCTCGACAACAATAATTTACGTGTCTAAGGGGGATTATTGTTTACCTGAGAGCTGTTCTCATCTGCAAACGCTGAAATCCGGATTCCGGATGTAGTCTTCTCTTCATAAAGACGCGGCTCTAGTTGCTGGTGATTGTCCTGTCTCTACAGATTTGGTAAGTGAGCGACCAGTGCTCTTTGTATATTCAGTTTGTTCGTATCAAATAAGTTAACTATTGCATTGAGTGCAAACATGTTAGCACCGCATTTTGTGACCGGAATAACACACGCGGCTTTCGGACGCTACCTGCCGTGTGCATCTAAGTTTCCGGGAAATGCGGAGTTTTTTTTCCGTCATTCGCCGTGCGGTATCAAACATTGCATGAAAAATACACGCTTAGAGCAGATCCTCGAATCAAATATCTCATTTGTCGGGAGGGGCATGAATGAATTCCCTGAATGAAAGAGCCGAACTGCAGTTAAAGTCCGACATTTAATAATTTGGCAAATAATTCGACTACAGATGTCCATGTAGGTTAAACACCATCCCTTTCTCCTGTGTATTTTGACTGAAACTCGCGCGTGCCCAAATAGACACTCCCACACCCTCCCACTTTAGTTTCTCCGACACTCCCCCCTAAACAGAGCTGGACACCCCCACTTTTCTGACTTTTTCCAAAGAAGAGGTGTGAAAACACCCTGCTGAAACGAGGGGGTTTCATGGCCCTTTAAATTTGATGCGAGCAGCAACTGGCAGCCAGTGCAAACGGACTAGCAGCGGAGTGACATGTGCTCGTTTAGGTTCATTGAAGACCACTCGTGCTGCTGCGTTCTGGAGCAGTTGAAGAGGCTTGATAGAGTTAGCTGGAAGCCCGGCTAGTAGAGAGTTGCAGTAATCCAGTTTGGAGAGAACAAGAGACACAAGTTTAAAAGTGACGTTGATGTATCTTGCACTTTCTGGGAAACTTCTACTGAAAGTGTGGCTCACTTATTTCAGGAATGTGCTTTTGTTCAATCCTTTTGGATTAAAGTGCTTTTAATCCAAAATGCTTTCATTATCCAAAATAATCTTCATCATCGTTTAAGACCTAATCAAAACACCTTGTTTTGGGTTTTACATTATTATATATTGGAAAGTTTTATATCTATAAATGTAAACCCTTTTTAGCATATTCAAACAAGAAGTATTAGCCTAGAGCTAAAATTTGTGCATATTGATTTGTATTAAATACGCCTGTTCATTTTTATGTTTATTACCCTCTCATGTCCCCTCATTTCTTTCATGCATTTGATATTTAAATCATAACTAATTGTTTAAAAATGAAATATAGTTTTTAGAGACTGTATTCTGTTTTATTCGTACTGTAAATCTTTTGTTATGAATAAATAAATGATGATGACGCCATGTGATGGGTCATCATGACTGTCGCAACTTTAAGCCACGAAGTGTCCAGATGACAGCTCCGTTTTCAACTCCACCCTCACCTGTGCGTGGCTAATCTCATTGATCGCTGGCTGTAGCTGTGCTTCATATTGAACACACCTAGTGACGCCCTTTATTTAGTCACGAGGCGATAAACGTCGACTGAAAACGCGAACAACAAGCAACAGCGTCTGTTGGATTGGTGATGTTGTTCTGCAATATTATTTTGATGTTCTATTTGTGTTATTCAGCTGTATTTATGATGTTATTCAGCTGTATTTGTGATGTTTTGCAGTATTTGTGATGTTGTTGTGCTGTATTTGTGTCAGTTCCTCTGAAGAGCATCTCAGTGGAGGTTCGGGTTCAGGATCATGTCGCCTCGGTCTCCTCCACTCTGCAGTATGTGAATGAGGAGCAGCGCCCCCTGGAGGCCTTGTTCGTCTTCCCTCTGCCTGCTGATGCTGCTGTCTGCCACTTCAGTGCCAAGATCGGAGAGCAGGAGATTGTGGCAGAACTGCAAGACAAGGAGACAGTGAGTCCAGATATTAACTTGTAGGATGCTGCTTTGCATATATTTTTATTTTGTGGCTCAAACCAAACTGTGTGTTGCAGGCGAAGGATCAGTATGATGATGCTGTGAGTTCAGGACAGCAGGCGTTTCTGTTGGAAGAGAGCGCAGAGAGTCCTGATGTGTTCAGACTGAGTGTTGGGTGTCTGTCGCCGGGTCAGAACGCTGCCGTCACCATCATCTACATTACTGAGCTCGCTGTGCAGGCCGACCAATCACTGCGCTTCTGTCTGCCGGCTGTTCTCAACCCCAGATACACACCAGCAGGTACTACAGCAGCAGTGGACACACTCTTTATTAGCAGAGAGAAGAGTGTGTGACTGTGTGTGTGTGTGTGTGTGTGTGTGTGTGTGTGTGTGTGTGTGTCAGGTTCAGATGCTGGTATAGTGTCAGAGATTTCATCAGTAAGTGGAGCAGCTCCCTACTCTCTGACTCTCAGTGTCCACGTGAGCTCTCCAAAGCCCATCTCCAAACTAGAGTCCAACTGCACTCTGGATCCTCTCGTGTTCCTCTGCTCTGACCACACTCAGGCTACGGTACTGTGTGTCTTGTTGTGTTTATGTGGATGTGTGAACAGTGCAGGTTTATCTGTGTGTCTTTATTATGTGTGTAGGTGAATCTGAGTCCTGGTCACATGTTTGATAGGGATGTTGAGCTGTTCCTGTACTATCAGGACACCCATCAGCCCTCTGCTGTAGTGGAGGCAGGAGTGGCCACTGCACCGTCAGGTAAGAGCTGCACAGAAATCTGGAGTTATGGGGTTGTGTGGTAAAGTTTTTACTGATTTATTCTCTTGTTTCAGACTCTCTAATGAGAAACCCTGTGGTCATGATTAGCTTGTATCCAGAGTTCCCAGAGGAAGTGATGTCATCAATGGCAACTCAAGGCGAGTTTGTTTTTGTGATGGACAGATCAGGCAGTATGAGCGGCATGATGCGTGGAAAAGAAGCACAAAACCGCATTGAAAGTGCAAAAGTAAGATTTAAAGATTGGTATTCACTTTTGTTTCTGTTGGCGTGTATTTAGATGAGACACTTGAATTTCTGTTCATGTCTCTCTGCAGGACACTCTGCTCTTACTGTTGAAGAGTCTTCCCATGGGATGCTACTTCAACATCTATGGATTTGGCTCTCGTTTTAAGTCTTTCTTCCCGTTAGTGTCTAGATCTTTAAAGTATCCATCTTGTTTTTGTTGTCAACACCCCCTGAATGCATTCTGCGTTTGGCTCTTCCTTCCTGTACCATAGCAATATCTTTTATAGATATTCAGATTTTCACCTTTAAAAAGTGTCAGCGATGACGAGGAGATCTTTCTGTCTTTGCAGTAAAAGTGTTGAGTACAACCAGGACAAAATGGATCAGGCTCTTAAAGAAGTAAAGGAAATGCGAGCAGACATGGGCGGCACAGAGATTTTACAGCCTCTAAAACACATCTACAGTCAGCCCTGCATCCCTGAACACCCCAGACAGGTACAACACCTCAACTACTCTTTGATATTGGTGTAAAAGCATAAAAATGATTTGTAAATCTGATGTTTGTCTTCAGCTGTTCATCTTCACTGATGGAGCAGTAGGAAACACTAAAGAGGTGCTGGATCTGGTGAAAAGTCATGCTCACTCTCACAGGTAAAGTTTTGCTGGGTTGGATCATTCAGATCCTCATCACTCATCATTTCCCTTCATGGGATGTCTGACAAGTGTCTAGATAAAGACATTGTGGTAAATCGCTAGATGACCAATCACTCTGAATAAGAGTAAGACAACAGGCCAATGAATGCCAATTAAATTTGCAGAGCTCAGCTTTGCAGCTGCCAGTGATTAATCATTAATAGAGTATATTAACTGGCGTGTGTGAAGCAAGTATTATATTTTTGTTTCAGAGCCTCTCATTGAGACTGAAGAGACCTTTTGCCACACTGACTTTTTATTGAAAGGAGTTTCTTTTCTTTTTTTCCTTCCGGTCCCCTGGACGTTTCACTGGTAGCTAAAAGAGCAGTTTTAACTAAAAGAGCAGAACCCCTAAGAAAGCAACACAGACGAAATGTCCAGGAACAATGCATCTTTTTAAAGATGTCCTTCTGACCGTGCATTCTGGATGTGGTGGTTTCCTCGCCCTGTATGACAGGCATGTGCACTGTATCACATGTCTGAGGGTCCAGCATGTTGAGCAGGTGCTGTAAGGCAGAATGTAGCATTAGGGTGCCTCACCCCTGCTGCTCCCCGCCAGTCGGTTAGCACATGGGCAGACCTGAGGATCACAGTGGGGGCTCATCTGTCGCTTTCGGGCCTGCGGACCTCTCACTCTTGGTCAGTGTGCTCTGTCCAAGCTTTGAGTGAGATTGCCGGTCCATCCTTTGGTATGGAGCAGCTAGGGGGTATGAGACAATTCCTCAGATGGAGCTTTTATTCATCTTTGCTTTGTCCAAAGCATGCAGGTTATCTGACTCTTTCAATACCAGACACTGCTGCGGGCCAGGCTGCTTCCGCTCTGCACACTATGGCCACCTATCAACGCTACCAAGCGGAGAAGCTGGCTGAGCTACAGGAGGGTGGTTCTCTTCTGGGCTTGATGCATGAGCTCTTCACGGCAACCTATTATGCTCTCATGACCACCAATCAGCCTCCTAGTGGTCTGTGAATGCAACCTCTGGCTAAACTTGGCAGAACCAAGCCTCCCGCAAGACCGAGTTGCCCCCGCCCATGGGGCTGGTAAAGCGTCCCTGAGACAGGCCACTCAGAGAAGAGGGGACCTGCTCTTTCCTTGGTGGGGGACCGAGGACTCAGTCCAATGTCAGTAAAATTGACAACAACTTCACTGCTGGCCTCCAGGCCAGTGGAACCCGAATTTTCAAAAAAAGAGAAGTTTCCTCTCTCACATGGTGCGCAAACCCGAGCCATGCCAGTCTGGGACACTCCGATGGTGCCATTAGCGCAGGCTCTGCCAACCTGGTTAGTGCTGCCCAACTCATCGCGGTGGCTTATACAGACGGTCAGACTCGGCTACGCGATACAGTTTGCTACTCACCCTCCCAAGTTCACGGGTGTTCATTTCATAAGGGTTGGGCTGTCCTCCTGGTGAAGGATGCAGTAGAGCTGGTCTCTCCTGCCGAGATGAAGTGCAGGTCTACAGCCCATACTTCATCATGTCTAAAAAAGAGCAGTGAGTTAAGACCATCCTTAGATCTGCAAAGACTGAACCATTATTTACACAAAATGCTGTTCAGGATGCTTACGCAGAACAAAAACTTCAATCCATCCGTCCTCATGATTGGTTTTCAGCAATAGACCTGAAGGACGCATATTTTCATGTCTCTATTCTTCCACGCCACCATCTCTTTTCCGGTTTGCATTCGAAGATCAAGCATGGCAGTACAAAGTTCTTCCTATCGGGCTATCCCTGTCTCTGTGGGTTTTTACCAAGCTTGTGGAGCGTGCCCTAGCGCTTCTTTGGCTCGCAGGCATTTGCATACTCTGTTGTCTCAACGTCTGGCTTATATTGGCTTTGTCCCGGGAACAATTGATTATGCACATAATGGTGTTTATGCACATGGTGCTCTGGCATCTTGACCAGTTGGGGCTTTAGGTCACCTGAGAAACAAGTAAACTCTGTCCCGTGCAGAGAATTTCCTATCTCGGAATGAAGCTGGACTCGATCTCCATGGTCGCGTGCCTCTTATAGAGGCGTGCCAGGCGGATGCTGTCCTGTCTGAGCACACTCAACAGGAGGCTCCTGGGGCATTTAGCATCTGCAGCTGCTATCACGCCGCTCAACTTATTTCAGAGCGAGAAGCACCGCCAACAACTCTAGGCAGTTTATATGCCAATGCAGCCGGGGTCCCCCAGCATCACGATTGGGTCCCCTGACAGGCATGGCGCATGGGCACACCGGGTGTCCATCACTCCGATGTGTCGCCACACCATCAGTTATTGGACAGATCTTGCTTTTCTATGAGCCCATGTGTGCCTAGAACAAGTATCCAGGCAAGTTGTCGTATCGATGGATGCCTCCAGCATGGGCTGGGAGGCCGTGTGCAATGAGCATGCATCTGCGGGTTCCTGGACTGGACCCCGGCTGCATTGTCATATAAACTGCCTAGAGCTGTTGGCAATGCTTCTCGCTCTCCACTGCTTTTCACTGGTTTTGGAGCAGCAACATGTGCTGGTCAGAATGGACAGCATGGCAACATTGACTTATATAAACTGTATGGGGGGTTTACCCTACCGTGGCATGTCTCAGCTCGCCGTCTGCTCCTCTGGATTCACACGCTTCTAAAATCGTTGTGTGGCATTCATATCCCGGGGGCGAGCTCATCCATGCAGCCAATGCGCTCTCATGGCAACTAGTGTCCCAAGGAGAATGGAGACCTGGTACAGTCCGGCTGATATGAGAGCACTTTGGGAAAGTCCAGGTCGACCTGTTTGCTTCTTTCGAAAACGCCCATTGCCAGTTGTTCTACTCCTTGACTGAGGCCCTCCTCGGCATGGATGTGCTGCCTCACAGCTGGCCCCCGGGCAAATGCTGGGGTTCTGTGCCAGCTACGCATGGTCCCTGATGGCGATCCCATATCGTCCCATATCATCACAATTGTAAGTCTTGTTCCCCAAATAGGGAATGGAGACGTGTCTCCAGCTGTTAGCTGAGTGATCAGCTCTTTAGCAGGCAAACAATCTAATGCTCGCTTCACACGGACCAGCTGATATACTCTGATAATGATTAATCGCTGGCAGTTCAAGTTTTGCCAATTCATTCGGCATTCATTGGCCCGTTTTCTTACTCTTTAGAGTGATTGGTCGTCTATCGATTGGTCGATCTCTCATAGTGTCTTTATCTAGACATGCCTCTGAGACGTTCTTGTGTCTCCAGATGTTTCTCATTCGGGATTGGTGAAGGTGCGAGTACCGCCCTCATCACAGGATTGGCCAGAGAGGGTTCAGGTCATGCTCAGTTCATCACAGGCAGCGAGCGCATGCAGCCAAAAGTAAAGCTCTCCACTGGACTTCACAGACACTGATGATTCCTAGTCACATGACTCAATGTCTCTTTCTCGTCTAACTGTATCAGGTGATGGAGTCTCTCAGGTTTGCTCTTCAGCCCATAGTGTCGAATATCTCAGTGGATTGGACACTTCCAGAAGGTGTTACTGCTGAAACAGTTGCTCCACCCATTGATGTGCTCTTCCAGGGTCAAAGGACTCTCATTTATGCCCAACTTAAAGGAAATGTGAGATGATTTATCGTACTTTAGTGTCCCTCAGTTGTTTAGATTGTAAAAACTATCTTTGATTGTAAATAACTCTGCAGAGTTTAGGAGGCTCTGAGGGATCAGTGACAGTCAAATACAACCTGAACAGTCAACCAGTGACAAACCAGCTGCACTTCTGCATCAAACCAACTGAGGAAACAGGGTAAACACTTAGAATCACATTGAATTCAGTGACATCTATTGTTGGCTTTTCTAAATCAGCAAATTCTACTTCTGTTTCTGCAGGTTGGTCGTCCACCGGCTGGCAGCTCGAACCATGATCCGTTCTCTAGAGCAAAAGGAGAGATCCAGCGCTGAAAGTGAGAGTCTCAGGAGCTCAATAGTGGAGCTCAGTGTTCAGGCAGGAGTGAGCAGTGTTCATACAGCCTTCATTGGCATTAATAAAGACACCAAACAGACTGTGAAAGGACCCCTGCAGCAGAGAAGAGTGCCGACATACGGTTAGTGCTGTGCTTGAATCTGCTTTGTTGTCACTTGACTGTTTGATGTCTACAATTGATTAAGATGTTTTTCAAATGTTCTTAAAGGAAGCATGATGGCAGAATAAGGCAGAGAGGCATTTAGATTTTCTGACAGATGTTTAGTGCTCTGCTAGTGACTAAATAATTGACTGTACTACTTTAGTATATTAAATGTTCATGGCAATGCAGTGGTGCAGTAGGTAATGCTGTCGCCTCACAGCAAAAAGGTCGCTGGTTCGAGCCTCAACACGGTCAGTTGGCGATTCTTTGTGAAGTTTGCATGTTCTCCCTGCGTTTTCCCCCACAATCCTTAGACATGCGGTACAGGTAAATTGGGTAAGCTAAATTGTCCGTAGTGTATGAGTGTGAATAAGTGTGTATGGATGTTTCTCAGAGATGGGTTGCAGCTGGAAGGGCATCCGCTGTGTAAAACATATGCTATATAAGTTGGTGGTTCATTCCACTGTGGCAACCCCAGATTAATAAAGGGACTAAGTCAAAAAGAAAATGAATGAATGAATTAAATGTTCATTTCCATTACATTTAAAAACCCTTCCAGCTGCAACCCATCACAGGGAGACACCCCCATTACACACTCATTCACACACATACACTACGGCCAATTTAGCTTACCCAATTCACCTATGGCGCATGTCTTTGGACTTATGGAGGAAACCGGAGTACCCGGGGAAAACAAATGCAAACACGGGGAGAACATGCAAACTCCACACAGAAATACCAACTGACCAGCCAAGGCTCGAACCAGCGACCTTCTTGCTGTGAGGTGATTGTGCTACCCACTGCAGCATCGTGACGCCCAGAAAATGTTTACATTCAGTTAAACTCATAATTTTGTAAATGGGCAGATTAAGATGTTTTATATTTTCTTTGTTCATTTGCTTGTTCTTGAGATAATTTGTATAATTCATGATGTTTGTTTAATATCGTGTGAAAGAGCAACAGCTGATGATAATGGCTGTTTTCCTATTTATGAATCTGTTTTGACTGTTAGCTTTTTTGCTTGTGGTAGAGAGAACGAGCGATTACCACTATTTTTATCCACCGCAAGGTAAGTTCACCTTAGCGTGATAGTTTTATCAAATATGAGTATTGTTTTCATGGAGTGAAAATGTGTGAAATACAGAGATGTATTTCAGAGAACTACTTCACGACTGTACTTAAGTACTAAAAGGCTGTATCTGTACTCTACTGGAGTGTTGTTTTTTCTCCTAATTCCACTCTTACTTCAGTACATATTTTTAATGAGTTTAATACTTTTACTCCGATAGATTTTTTATGTGGTGCATCGTTACTCATTACTAGGGGTGTCAAAATTATTGATATCGATTCAGGAATAGATCATAATCGGTTATTACATGATGACGTCATTTATCTCCTATGCGGAATGTCGCAATACTCTGGCGAAGGAGGCGAGGGCGAGTAAATAACGCTCTTACTTCAATGAAGGCGGCACAGCACATGAGGCGCAGAGAAATGCTGTATAACTACACCTTTACTTCTCTCTCTCTCTCTCTCACTTTGGACATTTGACCCGCGGGCCTGTTTGTGAGGTAGCTTTTCCTCTCCTCTTGGCTGTTAAAGCGATACTTGTGGATCCAGACATGAGCGTGCCTGAGGTGCGAGTTTTCTCCACTGTGTGTATTACTGATTACCTGTGATAACCGCGTATTATGCGCATATAGACTGTAACCACGGCTGTTCTTCCCGCCATCGGTGAACAGCGCTTTCATTTCTAAAGCCAATCCCAGCCCTTTCTGTTGAGCAGGTGAAGACAGTAACCAATCATAGGGGTGTAAGACCTCGCCTGTCAGCGCTCAAAAAGCAAGCGGGCTAATATTTACATGAGTTTATTTGCTGTAAATGCTCATGTTGTCTTGTGTTGGAGTTTTGTTTGATACATTCAGAAAGAGTGTTTTCTTTGAGCAGGTCAAATTAAAGGTACAGTTCATATATCTTACTGCTGTATTAAAGAACAAAATTGTATTACAAATTATATATATATATATATA